ACACTTGTTTCCTCCTCCCCCCATTAGATTGTTAGCATACAGCTCCTTCAAGTTGCATAAATAAATGTGCATTTCTAGGTTTCTCTAGACTCTTAGGTTTATATTTTGAAGTTCCTACTCAATTCTAGTCTTTTCATCACAAATGTTTGAAGGTCTTCTGTTTCATCAAAGGACTTTTCTTTCTTATAGTATTATACTCAGCTTTGCATGATGTTATTCTTGGCTTTAAGCCTATATTCTATGTCTTTTGGAATATGGTATTCAAAGATATTCTCCCATTTTTAGTAGAAGCTGCCAGGTTTTGTGTGATACTGACTGCAAGTCCTTGGTACTTAAACTGTTTCTAGATGCTTATAGTGGTTTTTTTTTCCCCTTTGATGTGAGGGCTCTGGATTTTGGCTATGGCATCACTGGAACTTTTATTTTGGAGGTTCATTTCAGGAATTAATCATAGATTCTTTGCTTTGCCCTCTGGTTCTAATAGAGCTGGGCTATGATTTCTTGTAATATAGTATCCAAGATTTAAATTTTTATACACACACCCAGACCCACACATGTGTGTTGAGGGACAGTCTAGAAAAATACCCTAGCCCACTTGGAGTAATAGCCTTGCTATGTTTATCAGGTAAGAATGCATCTTGATTGCTCTTAACCAAGTCAGTTACTTTTGACAACAAATAGCTTACACTTTTCTTTTTGTTACTTATTTTCTATTTCTTTACATTCTGTTACATTTCTTCTATTTTTCAGTCTTTTTAATCTTTTCTAAAATTTCATGCTATCTCATAGGATCACTGATTTTTGTTTGGCCTATTCTGTTTTATTTTTTCTATTTTTCAAGCATTCCATTTCTTGGGCCAGATTGACCATTTTATCTTCTAAGCTACTTGTTTTCCTTCCAATTCTTTGCTCAAGAGCTTTTCTTTCATTGTTTTATTTTGTTTCATTTTTTTTAGGCAATTGGGATTAAGTAACTTGCCCAGGGTCACACAGCTAGTAAGTGTCAAATGTTTGGTCTGAGGCTGGATTTGAACTCAGTTGCTCCCGACTTCAGGGCAGGAGCTCTATCCACTGCACCACTTAGCTGCCCCTTTTTCATTTCTTTAAAGAAATCCTTGTGGAAAATTCATTTTTTCTTTTTCAGTCTTTGCTTGCCATTGTTATAGAGTTAGAGTTGTAGTAATTTGTGTTGGAGGAAGAGACCAGAATAGGCTCCCATAAGGGGAGTCTTGGCTCCATCACTACACTCAGAGAAGGGGGTGCTGGTTCAGGGTATTATACCAAGGCTTCAGACCCCATTGTACATTTATTTTTTTTAAATTAATTTTCTACTTTCTCTCTCTTCCATCCTCACACCCTCCCATTTAAAAATAAAGAACCTCCCTCCCAAAAAAAACCCCAACTCATGTAACAAACATGTACAGCTGGTGGCACAATGGATAAAGTGCTGGGTCTGGGGTAAGGAAGACCTGTGTTCAAATCCAGGTGCAGACATTTACTAGCTGTATGACCTTGAACAAATCACTTAGCCTCTATATGCCTCAATTTCTTCAACTGTGAAATGAGGGTAATAATAGCACCTATCTTCCTGGGTTGTTGTGAGGATCAAATGAAATAATATTTGTAAAGCACTTAGCACATCACTCGGCACATGCTAGCTGTTTAACAAATGCTTGTTCTCTCTCCTCCTCCAAACAAAATAAATTCCTGAATTGGCCACATCCAAAAAAATATGTTTTTCAGTTACTCTCTGAGTATTCCAAAATGCCTATTTCTGACACATTGCTGAAAATGTTACCCTTTTCCCCAGATTGCTTGAAGTGGGGTTGGGCAAAAGGAAGTCCCAGAAGTTTCCAAAATTTCATCCTTCAGATCATTTTATTACTCCTGGACTGACATCCCTTGTATGATTTTAGTGCACTGATATGCTTCCTCACATGTTTATTGGTGAATATAAATTATTCAGCCAGACTTAATTAACGTCAGAAAGGATTCCTCACTGAGATGATACAGTAAGAAGTTGGTACAAACTTCCCCTCTGTGACATACTCTTTCACACTTACACATTGAGTCCAAGGGAAAGTGTGCTTAAGCCTAGAGGGCACTTGTGGCAAAGGGGTAAGTCACTGCTCCTGCCACAGCTTGTGGTCCTTTTCTCACCCTTTATGTAGTGCTCAAGAATTTCCCTCTTAGCTATGATAGAGCTTCTCTGCTTGACTCCTTGTAGTATCCTGAATCTATCTTCCTCATCTCATTCAGTCTGTCCTTGTCTTACTGCCTTCAGCTGTTCCAGGGGCACTAAGCTCTTCATCCATTCCAAACATATTTCCTATTTTACCTAGTGAAGGGTTCAGGCCATGTTTATCCCTGGTGAGCAGTTAAGATGCATTCTCGCCAGATAAACATATCAAGGCTATTACTCCAAGTGGGCTAGGGTAATTTTCTAGATTGTCCCTCAATCTTACATGTGTTAGTTGTGGATTTGGGGTTAGTATAATTTTTTGAGAAGGAGTATTTCATTTTATAATAAGAGTTACAAAATTGTTTGTACTTTGCAAACCATTGATACCCTTACCATTACTATACTTTAAGGATATTTTTAACATATAGAAAAGCTACCTAAGTGTACAAAAATGTTTCTAGCAAGCCCATGCATAAAATAGCAAAAATCCAATAAAGGTGGAATGGTTAAACAAAATGTGGTGTATGAAAGTTAATGGAATATTATTGTACCACAAACATTTCAGATATGAAGAATACAAAGAATATGATTCACATGTAGTTATGCAAAATGAAACAAAAAGAACAAAATACACACTGACCACAACATGGAAATAAGAAAAACAGTAAGAACATTAAAATACTTACATAGAAAAGAAGTTCACAAAAGGACACAAAAACAAATAGGACAGTTGTTACTGCCTTGAGAAAGTCAATAAGCAATAACATTTAAAATTTTTATTATATATTTTAAAATTTTCTTAATTTCTTTTTTAATTGCTTTTAATTCCAAAACTATTCCTTCTCCTTCCTCTAACTATAAAGACATCCATTACAGCAAAGAACAAGAAGAAAAAAAGAGAAAAACAGTTCAGCAAAACTAACCAACAAATGAATGGAGTCTGATGGTAGAAACATGGATTATCCAGGAGTAGTTTGACACTTGGGGAACAACTAGAAGCTTCTGTATGCATATGCCCTTTTATTAAGTGGCCAAAGCATAAATTTTGAGATGGAATAGGCCCATTGGCCATTGAGTTTAACACTACTCCCCATTTTACATATGAGAAAACTGAGGCACAAACAGGTTAAGTGAGTTGCCAAAGATCAACTAGTAGTATAGCTGAGATGGGGTTAAAATTTATGTCTTCCCCAATCCCCAAAATCCAGTGCCTTCTCCACTTTACCATGATGTTTTTCACATCTTATTTGAAGGTGCCAAATCTTGTTCTCAGTGCTTCATGAACAGTTCAGATAATGTGTCATTACAAGTGGCCAAGACAATGCTCTATCATCCTAACATGATTCATGGAATGGCCATTACTACATATGCAGTATTACACACCCTCTACCTGTTCAAGGTGGGGAAGGAAGTACATTTTATCATCTCCTCACAATCTGGCCTCAGTTTACTTTTCTAGCCTTATTACAAATCCCCTCATGTACTCTACATTCCAGATAAAATGGGTGTTTTGGTACTGTTCCTCATGACACTCCAGTTCTCATCTCAAATCCCTCACACCAACTGTCCTCCATGTCTAGGAGATTTCTCTTCACCTACAGCTCTTAGGTAAATTCCTAGTTTCCTTTGAGATAGGTCAAATGTTGCCTTTTCCTGCTCCCCACAGCTGTGTAGTCCCACAACCACTGCTAATTATCTTGTATTTATTTTGTAAATATATTGCATATATGTATACATGTATGCAGATGTGTGTTCATCTTGTCTTATTTAATACTATCATTGAGAGCAGGGAACTTGTCCCTTTTTTTTGTAACACAAACAGCTGTTACAGTGTCTGGCACATTGTAGGTACTTAATACTTGATATTTGATTGATTGATGGATCACTTCTCTGGAGCCAAGTTTGGTCAATATAACAGCAGAATTTTTATTTTTGTTCTTCCTATTTGCTTATTGTTTTCCTCATTCTACTTACTTCACTTTGAATCAGTTCATATGAGTCTCCCCATGGTTTTCTGAATTCTTCGTATTCATCATTTCTAACTTCACAAAAACACATTTTCATCCATCTACCATTACTTGTTTAGCCATTTTCCAGTCCATGTACATCGACCTTGTTTCTATTTCTTTGCTACTACCAAAGGGCTGTTATGAATATTTTGATGTACATGAGACTTTTCTATCTTTGACCTTCCTGGTATACAGGTATATATACCTAATTGTGGGATCTCCAGGACAAAGAGTATGGACAATTTAGTCACTTTTAAAAAGCTTAATTCCAAACTGGTTCCATATAGTTGAGTCAATTCACAGCTCCCCCAACAGTGACACACTTTTAAAATAAACTGCAAGTTGTTCATATTTATGGTTAAGCATTTATTTACAATATTTTTTTTCCTGCTTTGCCATGTGTATATGTGTATGCATGCACATTTTTGTTATTGGATGGCTATTTAGTATAATAATATATTAATTAAATAAATAGAGATTTGGTCTCCTCCACATAGAGAAAATAAATTGAAGCTTCCAGCATTGGCCAAGAAAAGTACATTGGCAATTCTCATGCTCATAAGAACTAGATAAATAGGCTGCAAAATCTACTCCCTTCCCCCAAGACATACGATGTACATTACCTGAAGAGTCTTTGGTCCATACACTGTGCACGCACTCTTTTAAAAGTGCCTTTTGTGTGAAAATATTAAATTGAGTGTTCCGACGCCTGGTGGCACTGCAGGCTAAGAAGGGGAACCGAGGGCTCCGCCTCTCAGCCTCCATCACAGGGAAAAACTATTGTCTTTCCGGAAAGACGGGAGCTTCCTGAGAGCAAAACAACACTGTGAATTGGGACTAGATCTAAATCTCCTCACTGAATAACTGAGAATGTTTTTTATCTGAAGGACGCGTCCAGAAAGGCACAATGAAGGTTATGCTAGACACAGCTCGGCGGGTAAGGAAAATACTGCTTCTGGTTATTTTGATGCGCGTGGGCGATGTGGGTTTGCAGCCTAAGGAGGCTCCTTGGTGGCTAATGTGGCAAAGGCCCTGGGACTGGAGGTGGGGTAGCTGTCAGCCTGGAAAACGGGGTTCTTTCAAAGCATACATAACTAAGCGTATTTGCAGCTTATCTGTGAGACTGAGAGATGAGAGAGTGCTTTTGAAAGGAGAAACTGGACTGGTAGGAGCTAAGCTGTCTCTCCAAAGTCTGTGTCTTACTGGAAAACTCTGCACTTCATCCAGACTGAGACACAAATGTTCGTATTCCTGGACTCAAAGACTCCCCCAGAACATCCGTGAAAGCAACACTCCTGGGATTGCGTCACAGCTTGAAACTGCCCTGAACGTAGACTAGGAAGCAACAGTATCCCAAAATAGCTGATCAGACCCCAGCTTTTATTTTCACAATAAAATTGGAGCTAGAGCAGAGGGCAAAATTGAAGTCCAATTAGTGTTAAAAACCGACAAACCGTCTGGTCCAGAGTGGGTGGAGTCTCTGCACCCAGGTCCAGAACTTCCCAAGTCCTCATCGAGTCTGTGGAACTTAATGAGAATGGACAAAAATCATGGAGAAATAGCTTTCCTATTTACTACTCTTTTCGTGACGCCAGGAGTCACCTTTTCAAAAGCAGTAACTTTTTGAAAACAATTCAGTATCTGGTGATCTTCTCTCTGAGGGCTCTTGATTTCCGAAGCATTTCCATTTAATTGTAAATGTGAAGCCCTGTAACAGCCGGAGCAAGTGCATGATGTTTTTCGTTCTGACTTTGAATCCTAAGGATTATGTCTTTTGGCTGACCATGTGATCATTTAGCATCTCAAGAGCTAGCCTGAGACTATTTTTAAAAACTGTGTTCTGAGATTACAGTTGAAAGAAAAATAGTAGTAGCCTCAGAGATGGGAAGATCTGGGTTCAAGTTACAGCTTTGACACTTAACTGGTTGGGTGTGACCCTGGGCAAGTCCCTACCACCTAGTGCTCTAGACATTTCTCTAAGACTCTTAGTTGCTGAGATGGTAGTTACCTGCAGTAATTGAGGAATTTTCTTCATCAGGAAGTTCCATATTCCAATGAAATCACTGGTGTAGTTCATATTGCCTCCTCTATTTAGGGAGAATTGCCCAGAGGAAAAAGGAAGGCTGGTTTGCCACATGGATAAGAGAATTTTGCCCTAAATCTCCTGTGGAGAACTGCTACTACTTGGTAACCCAGGGAAAAATGGACAAAGAGAGCAAAAGCACATCAAATATAGGCATTATGACTCTCCATAAGATATCCTACAGTAATAGTAAGAAATCCTAAGACCAGTATGACAACCTCATCTTCTACTTGCATCTTCTACTTGACATTTCTCTGCACTTCTACCAGTTATACTATGTTCATCCTTCTTTACCAATGAAAGAAAAAGAAACACATTGCAGATTGTAACTACTTCAGCCAAATGGACTCTTCCTGGCCCTCTAGATGACATCCAAATTGGGAGCCTGTCCTGTACTAAGAGCATGAAGCATATCTGACCAGTCAATTGGGAAGCAGTGAATTCAAGTCTTGAAATTCAAAAGCTGTGGTGCTGGGACAGGGAGGAAGACCCTAATTCTAATTCCAGAGTGATAATTTATTTCCCATCCTAGTGTTCCCCAACCCCATTTCTGTTACAAACCAAATAATCTAGTTACTAGTGGATTAAAATGTTTATGAATATTTAACTTCTTTTTCTTTCCTTTATCCTTAGAAATAATATAGTTGTAAAATATTAGAGTTGGAAGGAATGATAGAGATCCAGCTCTTGCATGTTACAAATGAGAAAACAGGTAAAGAGAAACTAAATAACTTGCTCAAAATTTCAAAGTTCATTAGCAGCAGAGCCCAGACTCAGACTCTAATCTTCTAATACCCAAGTCATCAATTTTTCCATTCTGCCTTCTCTTCTTTGGCATCTTCTGTGTTTTGCTATTTTAGCTAATATATTTTTGAGGCTAAGATGAAAATGTTTCCCTGTTCAATGAACAGATTTCAAGATTTCAATACCGTGTTCAAGAGGATTTCCAAAGAACATGACCAACTAGAAGCAAATGCATCAGAGATATCCTGCAATGTTGTATTTTCAAGGAAACAGAGAATGTTATCTAGTTCAACACCCCCAATTATGAAGATATTCCCTCTCCTACACCCTTATCAGGTATTCATACAATCTTCTTGAATACTTTCAGTGATGAAGAATTTACTACTTCACCTTGCAACTTATTCCACTTTAAAGTTTTAATTTTTGAAAATTCTTCAATTTCACCTAAAATATGTCTGTTTGTATATTCCATCCAATGGTCCTAGTTCTGTCTCTGGAATCTACACAGAAGTCTGATCATTTTTCTATTTGACAGCCCTTCAAATATCTAAAGATATGTATTCTCCTCCCCTCCCCACATTCATAACAAAAGTCATCTTCTCTTTTCTCATTTCTTCAGTTTTTCCTAATATGATCATGGGATAAACTCCAGTTTTTAAATGTTCCTCTTAACAAGTGTCACCAAGAACAATACCTTTGGGAAAACATGTGATTAGACAAGTGAAAATTGCGGTGGCTCTCTATTCCATGCAATCAAAGAATGCAAAATAATTTTTGACAGATGGATCACACTTAGGCTTGCAGCCAACTACATGGAAAAGCTACATGGAATACTGTAAAAGACTTACACTGAGAAGAGTGGTAAAGATAAAATGATTACTTTAATGACCTGTGGATTCAGAACCATCTCAGTATCCCATTCATTATCCCCTGATTGTTGCATTGAGGTTTTTTTTAGAATAAAGATTCTTGGCATTCCCTGTTATTACATCAATGTGACTACAACTGAAAAAAGAAGACATGTCTCTTCTTATTCTGAGAAGATTGAGAGGAAACATAATATCCTTTATATTAGTTGTGAGTCCTACTTTTTACTTAATTATGGTCTTCTCTAATTCTCAAACTGTTCTCACTGAGATTTAGATGTTGTAAAAGCACAGGTGTCCCAAGCCCGCTACAGTTACATATAACTCTCTATAATAATTTGTGCGTGTTTCGCATGGAAAAATAAAATAACACACCCTTTTAATTACAAAAAGAGCTCAATATCTCCCTTTGAAAACTAAACACATAAAGTATTACTGCCTGAGACAGAAATCTTTATGCCATTGAAAATTCGATTGAGAAAGTAAAATTCTCAATCAGGTCGCATGGTGGCGCTGCAGGATAAGAAGGAGAATAACTGATGTGCAAAAAACAAATCCCGCATCCTCCATTACTCTGCCTCAGAGTGGCACTAACCAAAGAAAGCCAGCTTTGTTAGCAGGAGCTGGTGGAGAGCGGGCTTCCCAGAAGTAGTTATTTATCCACAGTATATCGTGGTGTCCAGAGGTGTGGATTGAGAGAAACTAACAATATTTTTAAAGGGGTCGGCATGGAAGCAGACAAGAACGCAATTCGGGGACAAAGGCAAGTTCTGCTTTTCTTTGTTTTGCTGTGCATGTCTAAGGCGGGTTCGGAGCCCGGGAGGTTTTCTGTGGCAGAGGAAATGGAAAGCGGCTCGTTTGTAGGCAATGTGGTTAAAGCCCTGGGACTAGAAATGGGGGAGCTATCTAATAGGAGCGCCCGGGTAGCTTTTAAAGGAGACAAACAGTATTTGCAGCTCAATCTTGAAACCTGGGATCTACTCATAAAAGAGAAACTGGACCGGGAGGAATTGTGTGGGCCTACCGATTCCTGCGTATTGCCTTTCCAGATATTACTAGAAAACCCATTTCAAATTTTGCTGGCTGAGTTGCTAGTACGAGACATAAATGACCATTCGCCTTTGTTCCTGGACAAGGAGATGTTCCTGAAAATCCTTGAGAGCAGTCCTCCTGGAAAGATAATCCGTTTAGACGGTGCACAGGATTTGGACGTTGGGATCAACAGTCTCCAAAACTACACCATCAGCCCTAATTCCCATTTCCAAGTTCAAATACGTGCACGCAATGACGGCAGGAAGTACCCAGAGCTGGTGCTGAGCAAAGCTCTGGATCGAGAGGAACTGACTGAGATACGATTAACTCTCACTGCCTTGGATGGTGGGTCTCCGCCTAGGTCTGGGACTTCCCAAATTCGAATTTTCGTAGTGGATGTCAACGATAACACTCCTGAGTTTGAGCGACAGAATTATGAGGTGAGGATTCCCGAAAACAGCCCCCCAGGCTCTCTAGTTGTGGTGGTGCATGCTACAGATTTAGATACAGGCAATAACGGAGAAGTATTTTACACATTTTCCTACGCCTCCGAAGACATTCGCAAAACTTTTCAAATAGATCGATCTTCAGGAGAAATTTCACTAATAAAAACAGTGGATTATGAAGCAACTCAATATTATGAAATCGATATTGAAGCCACAGACGGTGGAGGCCTTTCTGGAAAATGCACAGTTCTAATCCATGTGATAGATCTGAATGACAATCTGCCCAAACTGACCATGTCCTCACTTACCAATCCCATTCCAGAGAATTCACCTGAGACTGTGGTAGCTATTTTCAGGGTTTCAGATCTGGACTCTGGAGAAAATGGAAAGGTGGTTTGCTCCATCCAGGATGATCTTCCTTTTGCCCTGAAACCTTCTGTTGAGAACTTCTATACATTGGCAACAGAGGGAGCACTGGACAGAGAGAGCAGGGCTGAGTACAACATCACTATTACAGTCACAGATTTGGGATCCCCCAGGCTCAAATCCGAGCACAATCTCATGGTGCTCATCTCTGATGTCAATGACAACCCCCCAGTGTTTACTCAGAGAGCCTATGAACTGTACCTGCAGGAGAACAACAGCCCTGCCCTCCACATTGGCAGTGTCAGTGCCAGTGACAGGGACTCAGGAATCAATGCCAAAGTCACCTACTCTCTGCTGCCTCCAGAGACTGGAGACCTGCCCCTCTTCTCCTACATCTCCATCAACTCAGACAATGGCCATCTCTATGCTCTGAGATCCCTGGATTATGAAGCTATCCAAGCTTTCCAATTCATTGTGAGGGCAGCTGATGGTGGTTCCCCGTCTCTGAGCAGCCAGGCTCTAGTTCAGGTTTTGGTAGAAGATGAGAATGACAACTCTCCTTTTGTGCTATACCCCCTGCAGAATGGCACAGCTCCCTGCAATGACCTGGTGCCCAGAGCTGCAGAGCCAGGGTACCTGGTGACCAAGGTGGTAGCTGTGGATAGGGACTGGGGACAGAATTCTTGGCTTTCCTACCAGCTGCTCAAGGCCACAGACCCAGGACTCTTCACTTTGTTGGCCCATAATGGAGAAGTTCGAACAGCAAGACCCATCAGTGACAGAGATGCCATCAAGCAGAAGCTCTTGGTGCTGGTGAAGGACAATGGGCAGCCTCCTCTGTCCACAGCAGCCACACTGAATGTGCTCCTGGTGGATGGCTTTTCTGAGCCCTACATTCAGCTTCCAGATGCAACTGAGGAGGAGGTGCAGACTGATTCCCTTACCACCTACCTAGTCATTTCCCTGGCCTCTGTCTCCTGTCTTTTCCTGTTCTCTGTTATTATGTTCATTGCCATTCGCCTGTGGAAGAGGAATACGGATGCTAATGATGGTAATCAATTTGATCCAAATGGTCCTTTCCCAGGCTACTTGGTGAATGGGACAGGGACCTTGTCACAGAATTATCATTATGAGGTGTGTCTGACCAGTGGCTCAGGGACCAGTGAATTCAAATTCCTGAAGCCAATTATTCCCAGGATCCCTGCTCAGGATAATAGGAGGGATTTGGAAGAAAACCCATCCTTCAGGAATAGCTGTGACTTCAATTAGGGATAGAAATATTTTGCATGCATTGCCATTATGTTTTGTCATTATTTTTATCCTTTTATTTTCTATCTTACTGTGACAAGAGAAGAATTTATTTTAAAAGCGTAGGTGATAAAATTTTCATGTTCTTTCCCCTGCTACTCTTTCTTTGATTTTTTTTTCTTTCTGTATTTGAATTTTGTGCAGGTTATGCTAGTTCCAAATCTATTTCTAAGAATGAATGAGATACTTCATTTTTGCATTCTCATTTCAAACTTGGATTTCAACGTTTGTGATGCAATTAAATTCACAAACTTCATTTAGGACACTAAAACTTTTTCTCTGCCATGGACTACATTAGCTCTCTTAATCTGTATTACTTGTTAGGATATGTTTTCTAAGATTGCATTAGTCCCTTTCTTATCTTCAATCTAACTAATGATTTATTGATAGCATACAAACTTTGGTTGGGACACTCACAAAAAGACAACGAGGAAACATGTGCTTCTGCCTCACTGCTCCTATTAGATCTCAGCCTTTGGTTATGAGAAATGAAACCACCTCTACATAATCACAGCCCATGCAATCAGCTCTTTTACAATTAACCATAGGATCTATTGTGCTATTATTATCCACATTTTACAGATGAGGAAATTGAGGTAGCGTTTAAGTGACTGACACAAGATTATGTATCTAGTTGATGTTTAAAGCCAAATTTGAACTCACATCTGTCCTGTCTCCAGGTACAGCACTCTATAAATTGTATCATCTTCCTTTATGGAAGCAATTAACAAAAATCACTCTATATGGCAAGCTATTCCAAAAAGCTAATGTATCAAGTTTTGTAGAAATTCAATACTTCCCCAAGAAGACAGCATGCCCATTTGATGTCCAGTTGCTTTAGTAGCATTATAAATTAATGACAAAAACTAATATCCTTTACCATAAGACCAACATAACCCAGAAACATGTGGGACTTAGATTGTAAAGTAGAATTCTACCTGTAAAGTAGAATTGGATAGTATGATGAATTGATTTTTTTTTAAATAATATTTTTCCTCATGACTTTTCATGGCCTTCTGAATAGTAAGAGATAGAAGAATTGAATAGATTGTGTCAGATTTGCCAGTACCAAAGCAAATATTCAAATAAAATAAATCTTAAAACTGTACATAAAATGGAAAATTTCCATGATTCAAAAAATGAAAGCACATGTTAAAAAATTTTAAAAAGTAATAAAAATTTTTATGTTTGCTTCTGGATCCCCTTCTGAATAACTTTTTTTCCCCTTCTATGTATTTTTGTTTTGATGCTGTCTTATTCTCTTAATAATTATGTACATAGTTTTATACAGTGTGTAATTGTTTCTTGGGGTGTTCTTTTTATAGTTTGCATTACTTCATATAACTTTTCCCATATTTATTTGTATTCTTCATATTGCCTTTCCTTTCAGCATTATAATAGATTTCATTAAATACCTATGTCACAATTGGCTATTATTCCAGAATCATTGGGCACATTGTTTCCAGGTTTGTTTTGTTTTTGTTTATTAGAAATGGTATTGCTAGGAATATTTTTGTCCAATTGAAGCTTTGTTTCATCCAGTAACACTCTTAATATTTGGTCTGTAGTGGGATCAATAGTTCAAAGAGTGAGTTTTGTAGCTATTATTGTGTGATATCTGCTTTCCAAAGTATTGTTTCAGTTTACATTCTTATAGCAATATGGGACTTGTGCCTGTTTTCCTGCAGCTGCATGAGCTTTGAATTTTATCATTTTTGTCTATTATCATATCATTGTCAATATAATGGATGTAAGATGGTATCTCAGAGTTGTTTTAAATTAAATTGCTTTGATTAGTAAAAAGTTGGAATATTTTATGTTGTCTTTTATAGCCTCTGAATCTTTTTTTTTTCTCAAGAACTAGATATTAAAATCTTTTATCTGGGTGTCTATAGAGCAATGACATAACAATTAAACGTGTTAAAATGTAATGGACTTCTTTAGGTGATAATGTATTTCCAAAAACTGAAGATTTCAAGCTGAGGTTTTATGACAATTTATCAGGAATGTTGTAGAGGTACTTGTGCTTTAGGTAAGGGATGGACAAGTGGAAGTAGATTGATGAAGTCAAAAGCTCTTCATTTGGAAGCAGATTAACTTGAGTTGGAATCCTCAATTTGCCACTCTCTACCTCTATGAATTTGGCAGAGTCACTAAGTCTCTTGGACATCAGTTTCCTCATCTTCAAAGGAAGAGGTTAGACTAGTTACCCTTTAAGATCCCTTTTAATTATAAGTCTATGATCTTAAATGACTTCCGAGGTCCCTTCCAAATATTAGGTGATATGAATCTATGAAAAATTTGTTGTTTAAGAAAATATTTACAAATGTATTTACAAAAGATACAAATTTCATTGTAAAAAGTTTAAGGGAATGGCCAATCACAGACACCTTCATCAAGAATGAAGAGCGTTTCAAGTTTGGTGATATTATTCACTCTTTAGAAAAGATTCAGTTGTCTCAAGTGGTATTCACATGTGTCCGAAGTATTAAAAACCAACACAAGAAATATGAGGATGGGTGAGGGGGAAGTCCCAAAGCTAAAGCACTCTCAAGTGGTCAGCATTAGCCAATCCTTTAGGAAGATAAGTCCTTTCTTTTCTTTTGATTTTCCTGTGGCTATTTTACGAAAGTACAGATTCACAGTAGATCGTTACCTTTATCTGTTGTACAATGAGGATGCTCCCACTCAGGGACTTTTTTCAGGATTCAGGGGCTGATGCAAAGGTTCTAGATCTTCTCTTCCCTATCCCAGAAAATTCTCTTCCCCAGCACAACAAATTTGGTGAGAAGGTAACCTTGTAGACATGTTTTTAGAAGAAAGCTGACTGAGCAAAGTTTGAAAACATGTGTCATCCAAGCTACCACCCCTCCTAATCTAACCAATTTTAGTCACTTCCACCTCTCCTTCCTGTTTCCCTCTTGACCAACAGATTACTTGTCAAGTCTCTTGGAAAATACAAATGACATAGGGTTTCCTCAATCTAGACTCAGACAGGTGTGTTTCAAGGGAAAGAAGCCAGCTCACATAAAGGGATAATAGGATAAAGAATCTGCTTCACAAAGTTCTTCCACAATTCCAATTGTGCAGAACAACAGACTTTACTTTACCAAAAATGACCCAGCTGAAGCAGATAGGAAAGGACAACTCAGATAACTCATGAACTAATCTCGCCAACATGGCCAGGAGGGAAAACTTCAGCTGATGGAAACCCAACAAAGCAGAAAAAAGTACATATGAGTTCTTTAGCCTACCAGGGCCTTGGCTTTCACTTCACTTTGCCCCATCTTGTGGCCTTTTTACAGATCAGTCAGGTGATCTTTCTGGTACTGGGGCATGGCTTTGCTAAGATGGCAAGTCTTGTCTCTCATTTGGCCTATGCCCAGTAGCTGCATCAATGAGTTGGCAGACCCTACATGGTTTGCAGACTCATATGTTTTAATGGGTTTAGAGGTTCAGGGAACATTAGAGATTCACACCAGGAGTTCTTAACCTGAGATTTGTAACTTCAAAGAATTTCACAACTGTGTTTCAATATGGTTTATTTCCTTTGTAATCTGGCTTATTTTATCTTATGCATTTAAAGACATTATTCTGAGGAGGGGTCCAGAACCTCACCCCAGACTGCTAAAGAGGTCCATAAAAAAAAAAGTTAAAAACTTCTGATCTAGACCAACCTCCTTCTTTTATGTATGAGGAAAATGAAGCTCCAGAAGTGCTGTGACTTGCCTAAGAACACAGAAATAGTAACACAGCTAGGATTTCAACCCAGATCCTCTGACTTCAAATTCAGTGCTCTTTCCACTATAGGGAGATGTGCTATTTGCTTCTCTGCATTTATGAGCTTTCCCCTACCCCCATCATCTGAAAAATAATGACCACCTAGAAAGTGTGGGGCAAAGTTCCAGAAAAACAGAATATCTTCATTTCAATTTTTAGAGATGAAAGTACTAATTCTTTGATGTACAAGTTTTGTATAGTCTAGTGCAAGTTTCCTGTATTGGACACATGGAGACGATGTTGTGTTTCCTTTACTTGCTGATTTTCTGGCTATGAAAGTCACTTTAATCTCTCATACCATCATTTTTCTCATCCTTAAAAACCTGTAGTACCTACATCACAGGTAGAATCAGATGAGATAAAGTGTAAACAACACTTAGCAAATCTTAAAAGGTTACATCAATATAGGCTATTATTGTTATTCAATGTGTTATTAATTAAATGCTTAGTATCACATACTAAATACTTATGTCTGTCTCTTTGTGATCCCACTCATTTTCTTGGCAGAGATAGTTTGCTATTTCCTTCTTCATCTCATTTTACAGATGAGGAAACTGAGGCAAACAGGGTCAAGTAACCTGCCTAGAATCACACAGCAAAGTGTATGAGGCTGGATTTGAACTCAGGAAGAGGACTCTTCCTGACTCCAGGCCTGGCTCTTTATCCACTGTGCCACCTAGCTGCCCTAAACACCTTTATAGCATTATCAAGTGCAGCCACAATTTTCTAAGGGAAAGAACCAATCTTTCACAGAAGACTGGAGCTGGTGCTACAGACTAAGGAGAAGGAAAGGTGCTACATATATTGATGGATGCAAACAAAAATATGCAGGTATCAGATGCTGAAGAAAGAGAAGGAAAGCTTTATTAGTGCAAGTCTGGGAAGGGGGCAGGAAGGCTTTGTGTGCTCTTGTATTCCCAGCTTTCAACTAACTCATCAAAAGAATAAGCTACTGAGACGGCACCTTAGTTGGATCTTATTTCTTGGCAGAGGTCACCCAATAAACAATGGATATGGAAATCTCTTCAGTTAGCCAGCTAAGGCAAGTTCTTCTTGTTTTGCTTGGCGTTTCTGAGACAGGCTCAGATTTGGAGCAATATTTACTGGAAGAGAAAATGGTGGTGGTAGAGGGAGGCTCCTTTGTGGCCAGTGTGGCAAAAGCCCTGGGGCCAGAGGTGAGACAACTGTCTAACCATGGAGACTGAGGCACTTTCAAAGGGAGCAAAGAGTATTTGCAGCCAAAGGAGGGGATCTGCTCCTGAGAGAGAAAATGGACCAGGAGGAGCTGTGCAGCCCCACCACTCTCTGTGTGGTGTCTTTCCAGATCTTACTGAAAAATCCCTTTCACATTGTTTGGGCTGAGTTGATGGTACAGGACATTAATGATCATTCACCAGTGTGAGATAATTCATCACACTGAGATGATCTTGCAAATTCCTGAGAGAACCTTCTCCGGGACTTTGTTCCTACTGAAAAGTGCACAAGATTTAGAAGTAGGAAACAACAGTCTCCAGAATTGTACTGTCAGCCCCAATTTCCAGTTCCACATTTTAAAATTCAAAACAGCAGAAGGGAAAGAAACATTCAGAGCTTGTATTAGATTAAACATTAGATCAGGAGGAGCAGCCTGAGGTCAGATAACTCTCATTGTAGTGGATGGTGCAGCCCCACTCAGGTCTGGGACTGCCCTAGTCTGAGTCTTTGTAGTCGATATTCATGATAATGCACCTGTATTTGCTCTGTTTCAGTACAAGAGTTAGATCCCTGAGAACAGGCCCATTGGATACAAGGTTGTCACAATTGGAGCCACAGATCTAGATGCAGGAAATAACATAGAAATATCCTATACATATTTACATTCCTCTGAAAACATTTGTAAAACTTCAACTTAAGAACTCCAGGCAACTTTGTCTAAGGGAGAAAGTAGATTCCGAGTAAACTCAGTCTGACACCATAATATTCAGAACACAGATGGAAGGAGCCTTGCTGGAGAAGGTACTGTAATTGTTGAAATGATGGATCTGAAGGACAATTCCCCTGAGCTGACCATGTCTTCGCTTACCAGCCCTGTCCCAGAAAACTCATCTGGAGACCCTAGCTGCTGTTTTCAGTGTTTCAGATCTGGACTCTGGGGGAAATAGAAATATGGCTTGCTCCATCCAGGATGATCTTCCCTTTGCCCTGAAACCTTCGGTTGAGAACTTCTATACATTGGTAAAAGAGGGAACACTGGACTGAGAGGAGGGTTGAATATAACATCACTATTACAGTCATGGATTTGGGATCTCCGAGGCTCAAATATGAGCACAATATCATGGTGCTTGTCTATGATGTCAATAATAAATCCCCATTTTTTACTCAGAGAGTCTACAGCTGTACCTCCAGGAGAATAACAGTTCCACTCTCCACATTAGCAGTGTCAGTGCCAATGCCAGGGACTCAGGAATCAGTGCCAAAATCACCTACTTCCTGCTGCCTCCAGAGACTGGAGACCTACCCTTCTACATTGCCATCAACTCAGACAGTGGCCACCTCTATGCTCTGAGATACCTGGATTATGAAGCTATCCAAGCTTTCCAGTTCACTATGAGGGCAGTTGATAGTGGCTTCTCAACCCTGAGCAGCCAGGCTCTGGGTCAGGTTTTGGTAGAAGATAAGAATGATAACTCTCCCTTCATACTGTACCCCCTTCTGAGTTACTTGGTGCCCAGAGCTGCAGAGTCAGATTACCTGGTGACCAAGATGATGGCTGTGGATGGGGACTAACAACAGAATCCCTGGCTTTCCTACCAAATGATCAAGGCCACAGACCAGGACTCTTCACTTTGTGGGTCCACAATGGGGAAGTGTGCACAAGGAGGCCCATCAGTGGCAGAGATGCCATCAAGCACAGGATCCTGGTGTTGATGAAAGGCAATGGGTATTGAACATACTCTTGGTAGATGGCTTCTCTGAGCCCTACCTGCAACACCCAGATGCACCCAAGGAGCAGTTCCAGACTGAATCCCTCACCATCTATCTAATCATTTCCCTGGCATCCATCTCCTTTCTCTTCCTGATCTCTATGACTATTTTCATTATTATTCACTTGTAGAAGAGGAAGAGGGATACCAGTGATGGTTTTTTATATGATCCAAGTAACCCCTTTCCAGGACACTTGGTGGATGTCAGCAGGACCAGGACCCTGTGCCAGAGCTATCAGTATGAGATGTGTCTGGCCAGTGGCTCAGGGACCAAAGAATTCAAGTTCCTGAAGCCCATTATCCCCACTCTTCCTTTTGCTTAGGCATTTGGGAATAATTCCATGGAAAATCCACCCTTAAAGAATAGCATTTCCTCAAAGTAGTTTTAAGATGCACTTCACCAAATTATGTCCACTTCCCAGTATTGGTTTTCAACTTCTTGTAGCACATTAAAACAGACATTTTATGCTATTGTGTTATATTTTTCTTTTCTTCTTCTTCTTTTTGTTGTTTTTTTTGGCAAGGCAATTGGGTTAAGTGACTTGCCCAGGGTCACACAGCTAGTAAGTGTTATGTGTCTGAGGCCAGGTTTGAACTCAGGTCCTCCTGAATCCAGGGCCAGTGCGCCACCTAGCTGCCCCTATTGTGTTATATTTTCCATCCCATTCTCCTCCTCACACACATTTTCCTCTTCTCCCTGCATCCTCAGCCTACAAATCCTTCTTTCCTTAGTCTTTTTGTTCACTTTCTATACTTGGGTTTTCTCCAGGTTGGTGTTCCCCATTGTTATTACTATTAGGAAAGAATGAACTGTGACATATTTTCTTTTCCATTTCAAACTTATAATTTAATTATTTCTTCCAAATTGATTTAGTGAATGTGTTCCAAGCTACCCAAACTTAGATTCTGCTGAATTCTTGCCTCAGGTTTGATTTCCTTTGTCAATGAAAAAAAATACTGTGAAGTTTTCATCCTCATGTCAATGAATACAATTTTGGCTCTCCTAAATGGTAATTTTGGTCTGGTTCACTTTTAGATTTTTTCACTTTTGTATTATAAAATTTTCAGTATCCTGCAAATATCTTACAACCTTCCTCTGGTCATTTTAATTTTACAATAACTCCTTTTTCTTGATACCTGTATTATTAGCTGGCATTAATGTAGTAAAATGTTGAGTATCATTGAAAGTATTCTCTGAACAATGGTACCTGGTGTTCATCAGCTGTAATAATTGTGGTCAGAAAAATAAATAGCACTAAGGAATTGATATAAAATGTTAAGAATATACTTTTATCAAAAATACACTTTTATGAAGATAACTAAGGATGGAAATGAATTATTCTGAAGAGGGAATGTATCTAGCTTAAGTGAAATCTAATCGTGAAGGAAGCATAGTGATGTGATTTCTCAATTGTCAATAACATCATAAATTAGTATCAATGGCTAATCTTTATTTGTTCAACGAATACATTGTAAGAGATCATATGAGGTATGGTTTGTAGTGCCTTTCTTCTGAAATTCCTTACTTTGCTGGTCCTTGTAGAAGCCATAGACCAAAGAGAAAAAGTCATTTCACATGAATATTTATTTTCTTTCTTTTGAATTATTTCAGTAATCTCATTGTTTAGTATGCTAATCCAGGAGTGTGACCTCCTTGGCCAAATGGTTTGCTTTTATAATATCTAAGTTCCTGGCCTTTAAGGGGCTCTATTGTGAGACCATTTGAATGTGGTCACAGAATTTCAGACCTAGAAAGATTATTTATCTAGATCTAGATAGTAGATCTAGAGCTGAAAGATATCAAGTAAGTCATCTGGTCCAACCCTCACATTTTATGGATAAAGAAACTGAAGACTAGGAGATTAAATATCTAGCCCAGAATTACACAAGTACAGAGAGAAGCAGGATTTCAGGGAATGTTGACTCCCTCTAATCTAATACAATATTCCCTCCTAATCCAATTTAGACAAACTCTAAATTATTCCTTATTGCCCAGAGTCAGATCAATGAATCACCTTCCAAGAGATGTCCTTTGTTACAGGAAAAAACAAAATTCCCCTGGACCCAGATCCTAGGGGATGGATTTCCAGGGAAAATAAATAAACTCAAACTGTTAGGCAGTAGAAAGTGATATCCCATCATTGTTGTGAAGCATTCCACAATTCTTTCTGTCAGTTCTGTTATGCAGAGTCTCTAATAACCACCAATATCGGATCAGGACTGATCAAATGCATGCATTCTCTTCAAGTGCTTAGACGGGAGAGAAAATTTTTAGGCTGAATATAGAGGCCTAGATGTATTCTTTCCTGCATCACACTTGCCATTTATTTTTACACTCCCTCAAAGTCTCTGAAAGTCATCTCCCGTAAGTTTCCTGGATGAGTCTGTGGCATTTTCTCAACCTCAATCATGTGTCTATAATGACCTAGTGGCTACATTTAGGACCTGGAAATCCTGCATTCTTTTCACTTTTCTTAGCTTGAAAATATACTTAGATCTATGAGGTATCGAAATTGCCCTAAAACAGGACATGGTGTCATTCCTGGGTGTATACAACACTGATACAGATCACCCTGTTCAGATCAAGGTATATCCCTTGGAAATACAGAGAATTCATGTTTTGAAATCGCGTAACAAGAACGTTTGGAATGACATTATCAACTATGCCGTGTAAAGACAGATCCACATGGTGGCGCTGCAGACTAAGAAGAGGCAAAGAGAGGTACACGGCTACTCCAAGACTCAGAAAGACAACCCTGAATCAGTCGAGAAGGAGAGGGGAAGCTTTGTTAGCTGGAAATGGGGAACTGGACTGCATCTACATTTTTCTGAGGTTTCTCTGGCTACTGTTTGCGGTCGAACCAGGCTGCTCTGAGAGGAGGGGCAACAGAGCCGGAAGGGACAATGATTCCGCAACAAAGGCAAGTTCTCTTTCTCCTTGTTCTGCTGGGTGTGTCTGGGGCGGCCTCACAGTCGCAGCAGTTTTCTGTAGTGGAGGAGATGGAGAGAGGATCCTTTGTGGACAATGTGGCAAAGGCCCTGGGCTTGGAGGTAGGGGAGCTGTCAAATCGGGGGGCCAGAGTTGTTTTCAAAGAGAACAAAGAGTATTTACAGCTGCACCCTAAAACTGGGGATCTGCTCCTGAGAGAGAAATTGGATCGGGAGGAGCTGTGCGGCCCCGCTGAACCCTGTGTGCTGCCTTTCCAGATCTTACTGGAAAACCCCTTTCAGATTGTTCTTGCTGAGCTGATAGTGGAAGACATTAATGACCATTCACCAATGTTCCTAAACACTGAGATGGTACTGAAAGTCCCCGAGAACACATCCCCTGGAACTGTATTTATACTAGAAAATGCGCAGGATTTAGATGTAGGAAACAACAGTCTCCAGAACTACACAATCAGTCCTGACTCTCATTTCCACATTCAAATTCGAGGGGACCCAGAGGGCAGGAAACACCCAGAGCTTGTACTGGATAAAGTTTTGGATCGGGAGGAGCAGCCCGAAGTCATTTTAACCCTCACTGCGCTAGATGGGGAATCTCCACCCAGGTCTGGAACTGCCCAAGTTCGAGTGCTTGTAGTAGACATCAATGACAATGCACCTGTGTTTGCTCAGCCGCGTTATGAGGTTCAGATCCCTGAGAATAGTTCGATTGGATCCCGAGTTATCACAGTCTCAGCGACAGATTTAGATGCAGGAAATAATGCAGATATATCCTATATGTTATTGTATCCCTCTGAAATCATTCGTAAAACGTTTCAACTATCAGAGAAATATGGGGAGCTGTATTTAAAGGAAAAAGTAGATTTTGAGCTAATTCAGTCTTACACCATCAACATTCAGGCCACAGATGGTGGAAGCCTTTCTGGGAAATGTACTGTTATGGTTCAGGTGATAGACCTGAACGACAATCCTCCAGAGCTGACAATGTCTTCATTTAACAGTCCCATCCCAGAGAACTCTCCTGAGACAGTCGTGGCTGTTTTCAGGGTTTCAGATCTAGACTCTGGAGAAAATGGAAAGATGGTTTGCTCCATCCAAGATGATCTTCCTTTTGCCCTAAAACCTTCTATTGAGAACTTCTATACATTGGTAACACAGGGAGCACTGGACAGAGAGAACAGATCTGAGTACAACATCACTATTACGGTCACAGATTTGGGATCCCCGAGGCTCAAATCTGAGCACAATATCACGGTGCTCATCTCCGATGTCAATGATAACCCTCCCATGTTTACTCAGAGAGCCTACAAATTGTACCTCCGGGAGAACAATAGCCCTGCCCTCCACATTGGCAGTGTCAGTGCCAGTGACAGGGACTCAGGAATCAATGCCAAAGTCACCTACTCTCTGCTGCCTCCAGAGACTGGAGACCTGCCCCTCTTCTCCTACATCTCCATCAACTCAGACAATGGTCATCTCTATGCTCTGAGATCCCTGGATTATGAAACTATCCAAGCTTTCCAATTCACTGTGAGGGCAGCTGATGGTGGTTCCCCGTCTCTGAGCAGCCAGGCTGTGGTTCAGGTTTTGGTAGAAGATGAGAATGACAACTCTCCCTTTGTGCTGTACCCCCCTCAGAATGGCACAGCTCCTTGCCATGACCTGGTGCCCAGAGCTGCAGAGCCAGGGTACCTGGTGACCAAGGTGGTAGCTGTGGATAGGGACTGGGGACAGAATTCTTGGCTTTCCTACCAGCTGCTCAAGGCCACAGACCCAGGACTCTTCACTTTGTTGGCCCATAATGGGGAAGTTCGAACAGCAAGACCCATCAGTGACAGAGATGCCATCAAGCAGAAGCTCTTGGTGCTGGTGAAGGACAATGGGCAGCCTCCTCTGTCCACAGCAGCCACACTGAATGTGCTCCTGGTGGATGGCTTTTCTGAGCCCTACATTCAGCTCCCAGATGCAATCAAGGAGAAGGTGCAGACTGATTCCCTTACCACCTACCTAGTCATTTCCCTGGCCTCTGTCTCCTGTCTTTTCCTGTTCTCTATTATTATGTTCATTGCCATTCGCCTGTGGAAGAGGAAGAGGAATGCTAATGATGGAAGTCAATTTGATCCAAATGGTCCTTTCCCAAGCTACTTGGTGGATGTCAGTGGGACAGGGACCTTGTCCCAGAACTACCATTATGAGGTGTGTCTGACCAGTGGCTTAGGGACAAATGAATTCAAGTTCCTGAAGCCTATTAATCCCACCATTCCTCCTACTCAGGCAAGTGGGAAAGACTCTATTGAGAATCCAAATTTAAGGAATAGCTTTTGCTTCAATTAGGTTTGATGTGTGTTTTGATGCATTTAGAGACATTTTCCCTCCTTTCATCCTCCTCCACTTACCTCCCACTATTAGTTGCCTGTCTTCCAGTAGCTCAAGAGAATAGATTTTTATGCTATTGTGTTGTGTCATAATTTTTATCCTCTTCTTTCTCCTCCACACATTTTCTTCTTTTCCCTATATCTTTTCTCTGTAAATATTTCATCCTCTCCTTCCTTGTTTTTGATCTTGTGATATCTTTGAATTTTGTCCAGGTTGTTCTATTCCCATATCACTTTTCAAAATGAGTTAGAATTTAAAAATATTCTTTACTCAACAAATTTAGCAAATATGTTTTAAGATACTAAGTCTTGATTTTGATCAGGTACTCTCCTGTAGAGTTTGTCCTATCCTGTATCATCTGCAAAGGAATATTTTTCAAAATTTGAGTCTTATTATGTCAATAAAAAACAGCTGTGGTTCTCCTGAAGGGCAATTTTGGCATTTGTTCTAACCTTCTGGATGATTTTCTTCTTTTATTTCTCTTTCCTTTGGTGAAAGCTTTTCAAGGAGCAGCAATAATCTTCTAACCTTCTGGCTGTGGCCAGAAGACACGATCTTTTTTTAGAAAGCTTAACACATTCACTTTGATACTATTTTTAGGAGATGCATAGATTCCCCTGAAAATACTCTCATTTGTTGTTTCTGATTTCAATCCAGTCAAAGGATGATAATCCCTTTGTTTGTTTGTTTTTGCTAGACAATGGGGTTAAGTGACTTGCCCAGGGTTTGTGTGACCCTGTAAATAAATGTCAAGTGTCTGAGACCAGATTTGAACTCAAGCCCTCCTGACTTCAGGACCAGTGTTCTATCCACTGTGCCACCAGCTGCCCCTGTGATTTCAATCCAGAAAGTATTATATGTGTATCGGAAGTATAAGGAAAAACAAAGAACACTACAACATTGATGAAAAACTTTTAGGAATATATCTTTATGAAAGTAAGAGAATTAGATGATAAAGTATTGTGATAAAAGATGCATGTCAGTTTGGAGACAATTGTGAAGGATGCAAACTGGTCTGACCATTGAATTTTCCAATGGTATTATAAATGACCATTTCTAATCTTTACACATTCTTGAGTTGAGTGAGAAGAAGTGGTTTGGTTGGTGCCTGTGGCTATGTGGTGCTATAAAATCGTTCTAGTGAGTTACCTTGGACATGTTTATAACATTTTCCTCCTGAAATCTCATACATTGGATTTTACTCATCCTCCAAAAGCTTGTGACCAGAAAAACAAATTTAAATGAATATGTCTTTGTTTTCTCTTCCAGTTTTCTAAAAAAAAATTCCTACTTTGAGGAATATCTAGGTCAAGGGGGTCACACTCGTGGCCAAATGTGTGGTTTCAAATGCTCTGCTTTTACAGTATTTGTTAATGCCTTTAAAAAAAAAAGGGATTCCAGCTTGAGCCTTTCTCAGTTTTATCACAGAATGTAATACTTGAAAGGGTCCTCACAAGTCATGCACCCCCTTCACTTCCTGTTATATATTTAACGTTCAACAATGAAGAAATGCAATTTATAGTACACTACTAATTTTGTCACAAGATGTAATCACAGGATTGGAAAGTAGAAGAAAATTGTGCTTGTTTGAGACCAAAAATATTTTTATTACTTAAAAATTTAAGAAGAAAATCCATGCTATATTACTTAGATTTCACAATACATCAAAATGTTTTTCTTTCTTTCTATGACCTGATGCATAAGACAAATGCAATGTCTTCAATTTGAGGAACATCTGTGACTTAATAGATAATTCCTAGGGAGTTGCCAGAGGCAAAGGCACATATATGTCAAGTGATTCAGCAATGATTACATAACTAGTAAGTGTCAGAGGTGGGATTTATGACCAGGTATTCCTGAATCTAAATCTAGCCCTCTGTGCTTCTTCCCAACCCCATCATGTTGTAACTCACTTTGTGACATTACTATAGAAATGATCCATAATCCCACATTGTTAAAAGCTAGCATAAAGAAACTGAAATTGAGACTGAGTTTCCAATGACAAATAATTCTCTGCATGGAGAATCATCACAAACACTATTGGAATTTTCTTATTCTCTCTTTGTGCTCCTCTGGCCAATTCAGAAATTGATTTGGTGAAACAAGGCCTTTGAAAATCAAAGGCATTATTTTCATGGTAGCAAAGGAAAGGAGTAAAGTTAAAAGATTCCTCAGAGATATTTTCTTGTTGTTTGTTTGGATTTATATTATTTTTCATTCTGAATTGGGCAAACAACCAAAAAAAATAGTATTTCCATACAAAAAAGTAGGACAGAGAGGATTGTATAATAAGCCACAAATCTCCATTACTTACACTTTCTTTTTTAAAGTATGTATATATAATAAATTCAGTATGTTACTTTGAAAACTGTATTGCTTGTGTTTTCTTCTGCCCTTCCCACTACTCTCTGCATTTTAAAGAATTCAGTAATAACTCCTGTTTTTCCTTCCTTCCTTCCTTCCTTCCTTCCTTCCTTCCTTCCTTCCTTCCTTCCTTCCTTCCTTCCTTCCTTCCTTCCTTTCTTCTTTCTTTCTTTCTTTCTTTCTTTCTTTCTTTCTTTCTTTCTTTCTTTTTTCTTTCTTTCTTTCTTTCTTTCTTTCTTTCTTTCTCTCTCTCTCTCTCTCTCTCTCTCTCTCTCTCTCTCTTTCTTTCTTTCTTTCTTTCTTTCTCCTACAAGAGCCATTCTCTCATACAGGAGCAAAGAGTCATTAACCACATTATTTCCCTCTTCTCTTCTAAAATGACTAGCTCTGGAAAAACTCTTCATCTTTTCCTAATGTCCACACTCAGTCCAAAGGAACCTTTCCAAGAAATCCTTATTTTCTAGAAAAATGCAATTCTTGACTCACACCACTATGGCCTTAATTTCAAAGGTAGTCATAAAGGGGTCATAAAACAGACAGGGAACAGTAGTATCCAAAATTTACTAGGAAAGAGCCCCTTGAGTCATGAGTCCTCACATAATTCCAGTTGTGCAGAAAAGCCTTTAATGAGCAACTAGTGAAGATCAAGAGCTTGTTAGGATATCTTTTCAGTCTTATAGGCTCACAGACTTGAGAACAGAAAGCATTAGCTTAAAAAAAACCTGCTTCCTTTCTCCCACACAGGCTTGGCTATTTACTCCCCCTCTTACCCGGTTCTCTAAAGGCTGTCTCCTTTAAGCATTGTAGAATGGGCCATGACTTTCTCTTAACCCAAATCTGTTCGTTTGCAACCTGTGAAACATCCTAACGTTTGCCAGGACTAGAGAGGGCTGCATCATTGACTGAAGGCTGAGCTCCTTTTAAACGAACTTAAAATAACACATATCTATGTGGTTTGGGGCAAAGTGGCGAATGGTTACAGCGCTGATCCAGATCTCCCTGTGGAAAAGATATTACAAACTCTGTCAAATTCAGACCAGAATTCAAGATAACCTGTCTGAGAAGAGGTACTCAGTACTTGAGAAATTAACGGAAGAGAAGCATAATAAAATGAACCGCGTGGTGGCGCTGCACACTAAGAAGAGGCCCAAAGTATCAGCGGGTACGTCAATACCAACAAAGACGGGAAGGAGAGCTGAATCTTTCTCAGCTGGAATTCTGGGAAAGGATCCCGCCTTGCATATTGCTGAGGTATCTACAGGGCGGGAGACAATTGTGACTTCTGCTTGCCGTTTGTGGTCGAACTTCACTACAGAGATTGAGAGAAGGAGGAGAAAGGAAGAATGGAACGAGAAGGAGCAATGATTCCGCAACAAAGGCAAGTTCTCTTTCTCCTTGTTCTGCTGGGTGTGTCTGGGGCGGCCTCAGAGCCACAGCAGTTTTCAGTAGTGGAGGAGATGGAGAGAGGCTCCTTTGTGGCCAATGTAGCAAAAGTCCTGGGCCTGGGGGTGGGGGAGCTGTCGAATCGGGGGGCCAGAGTCGTTTGCAAAGGGAACAAAGAGTATTTGCAGCTGCACCCTAAAACCGGGGATCTGCTCCTGAGAGAGAAACTGGATCGGGAGGAGCTGTGTGGACCTGCCGAGCCCTGTGTGCTGCCTTTTAAGATCCTACTGGAAAGCCCCTTTCAGATTGTTCGGGCTGAACTAAGAATACAAGACATTAATGATCATTCACCGGTGTTCTCAGAAATTGAAATGCTTCTAAAAATCCCAGAGAGCACCTCCCCCGGGACTGTGTTTCTACTAGAAAATGCTAGAGATTTAGACGTAGGAAACAATAGTCTCCAGAACTACGCAATCAGTCCCAACTCCCTTTTCCATGTTCAAATTCGAAAGAGCAGTGAGGGCAGGAGATACCCAGAGCTTGTGTTGGACAAAGCCCTGGATCGGGAGGAGCAGTCTGAGGTCACTTTAACTCTCACTGCAGTGGATGGGGGAGCCCCACCAAGGTCTGGAACTGCCCAAGTCCGAGTCCTCATAGTGGATATCAATGACAATGCCCCCGTGTTCACTCAGTCCCAGTATGAGGCTCAAATCCCTGAGGACAGTTCCATTGGATCCAAGGTTGTCACAGTCTCTGCCACAGACTTAGACACAGGAAATAATGCAGATATATCCTATATGTTATTGTATCCCTCTGAAAATATTCGTAAAACTTTTCACCTTAAAGAGAAATTGGGAGAACTTTATTTAAAGGAAAAAGTGGATTTTGAGTCAACTGAATCTTACATTATAAATATTCAAGCCACAGATGGTGGAGGTCTTTCTGCAGAATGTACTGTTATTATCCAGGTAATAGATCTGAACGACAATCCTCCAGAACTGACTATGTCTTCACTTACCAGTCCCATCCCAGAGAATTCTCCTGAGACAGTCATCGCCGTTTTTGGTGTTTCAGATCTTGACTCTGGTGAAAATGGAAAGATAGTTTGCTCCATCCAAGATGACCTTCCTTTTGCTCTGAAACCTTCTGTTGAGAACTTCTATACATTGGTAACAGAAGGAGCACTGGACAGAGAGATCAAGGCTGAGTACAACATCACTATAACAGTCACAGATTTGGGGTCCCCGAGGCTCAAATCTGAGCACAATATCACGGTGCTCATCTCCGATGTCAATGATAACCCTCCCATGTTTACTCAGAGAGCCTACAAATTGTATCTCCGGGAGAACAACAGCCCTGCCATCCACATTGGCAGTGTCAGTGCCAGTGACAGGGACTCAGGAATCAATGCCAAAGTCACCTACTCTCTGCTGCCTCCAGAGACTGGAGACCTGCCCCTCTTCTCCTACATCTCCATCAACTCAGACAATGGCCATCTCTATGCTCTGAGATCCCTGAATTATGAAGCCATCCAAGCTTTCCAGTTCACTGTGAGGGCAGCTGATGGTGGCTCCCCATCTCTGAGCAGCCAAGTTCTGGTTCAAGTTTTGGTAGAAGATGAGAATGACAACTCTCCCTTTGTGCTGTACCCCCCTCAGAATGGCACAGCTCCCTGCAATGACCTGGTGCCCAGAGCTGCAGAGCCAGGGTACCTGGTGACCAAGGTGGTGGCTGTGGATAGGGATTGGGGACAGAATTCTTGGCTTTCCTATCAACTAATCAAGGCCACAGACCCAGGACTCTTCACTTTGTTGGCCCATAATGGGGAAGTTCGAACAACAAGACCCATCAGTGACAGAGACACCATCAAGCAGAGACTCCTGGTGTTGGTGAAGGACAATGGGCAGCCACCTCTGTCCACAATGGCCACACTCAATGTGCTCCTGGTGGATGGCTTTTCTGAGCCTTACCTGCAACTCCCAGATGGGGGTAAGGAGCAGGTCCAGAATGACTCCCTTACCACTTACCTAGTCATCTCCCTGGCCTGTGTCTCCTTTCTCCTCCTGTTCTCTATTATTATGTTCGTTGCCATTTGCCTGTGGAAGCGAAAGAAGGATAGCACTGACATTAGTTGCTTCACTTCCAATGGCCCCTTCCCAAGACACTTAGTGGATGTCAGCAGGACAGGGACCTTGTCCCAGGCTTACCAATATGAGATGTGTCTGGCCAGTGGCTCTGGAACCAATGAGTTTAAGTTCCTGAAGCCAATTGTTCCCATCCTTCCTACTTCAGAAGGAAATGAGAACTCAATTGAAAACTCAGCCTTAAGGGATAGCTTTTGCTTCAATTAGCTTTCGAAATGTGCTTCAATACATAGAGGGCAGGTTTTATGGATTCTTTTCCTTCCCCCTCCCATTAGTTGCTTGTCTCCCTGTAGCATGAAAGAGTAGATTTTTTTTCAAAACAGTAGATTTTTATACTATTACATTGCATCATAATGTATTTTTCTTCTCTTTCCCTCTCTACACACACTTTTTCCTCTTCTCCCTGCATTTTGTCTCTGTGATTCTTTCTCTCCTTCCTCTTTGGGTCTTTGAATTTTCTCCCAGTTACTCTATTACTCTTTTTGAAATGAGTAAACCATTATATGTTCTCTTTCTTATTTGAAACTTAAATTTTAACATACCTCAAATAATTCAGCAAATGTTTTTCAAGTACTCAAACTTAATTGTGACTCCATACTCTCAGAATTATTCTATTATGTGTCACCTACAAAGGAATGTTTTCCAAGAGTTCATTCTTATTATGACAGTGAAAATAATTGTTGCTCTCCTGATTGGCAACTTAGGTATCTGTTCTGACCTTCTGAGGGATTTTTCTCCTCTTATTTACCCCCCCCCCATTTATTAGTGAAAGATCTTCAGAGAACAATGATGACCTTGTAATCTACTAGCTGTGGCTCCTAGAGTTTTTGTAATTACCCATGTACTTTGAAAAAAATTGAGATCCAAGATATTTGCTTGAATTTGGTTTTTAAATGGAGTATAGACATCACTGAAAATATTCTTATTTACGGTTTCTGATGTCAATCCCCTAAGTAATGCCTATTTTGGGGAAATAAGAAGTACTAATAAAAAACACTAAGCTATTGATGGAAAAATTTGCTAGAATACACTTTTATGAAGCTAATAAAGACAACTATATGGTAAATTCTTATGAAGAAAGAATATATCTTGGTTTGGAGACATTTGTGAAACACTAAATTCTAACTTCTGATCACTTAATATTCCAATTACTTTGCACATTAATGATGATTTTCAATCTTTGCATGTTCTTAATATAAATGTCAAGAAGTAGAGTAGTGCCTATTGTTATGGCTCTGGGAAGTCATTCTTGTGAACTACTTTGTCTATGTTTATGCCACTTTAACCCCTTCAATCCCATAGATTTCAATTTTTACATCCTTTAGAAGGCCAAGGCATCTACCTCACAGGGTTGTGGTGAGGTTTAAATGAGATGATATTTGTAAAGATCTTAGTACATAAGTCTTAACTAAATGCTTATTCCTTTCCCTCCTTGAGGCCTGAAAATAAGTTTAAATAAATATGTCTTTGTTTACTCTTCTGGTTATTTAAATCGTTTTTCAGTTTTGGAAACACACCAGCTCATGAGTGTTAGATAAAGTATGTGCTTTTATAATATCTGTATGAGGTCTTTGAGAGGCTTCATCCATAGTCCTTCTGAATTTTATCACAGAATGTCTTTCAACTCAGTTTGGTTCAATCAGTGTTCAATTTGGGAGAAATACCATTTATGGAACACCTCTATTTTTCACACAAGATATGGTCACCTAGATTTGAAAGTGGAAAAAAAGTTGCATTTAGTTGAGATCACAATCTATTCTTTAATTTGAAAAAAAGTTTTTTAAAAAATTATTTAATTATTTAATTTTTATTATTTTAAAAGATAGATAAAAAAGATGTACCATATCTCACTCTATCATTATTTGGGGTTCAATATGGGGCAAGAACATTTCTTCTTTTCATGACCTGATGCACAAAAGATTTGTGATTTCTTGAACTTGAGGAACAACTCAGCTGTGACAATACACAATTCTTAGGGAGTAGCCCCTGCCACGCAGATATTAAATGGCTCAACAATGGTCACATAAGTAGTAAGTGTCAGAGGAGGGATATTTGACTGGGTATTCCTGACTCCAGCTAAACATATTGTCTCCTAAACCATGCTGCCTCTTTTTGGGTAATTTTGCTGTAGAAATGATCCAGTTGTCTGCAGTTATTTTCCCATGATCTTATATCACTAAAACCTAAAATAGAGAATGTGAAGTTGGGATGGGGGAGTTTCCAATGTCAGAGCATTCTCTGCAGGTAGAATCAGCATCTACTCTACTGGAATTTTATTCTCTTTTTGTTTCTTCTTTTTGCTCTTCTGGTCGTTTCAGAAGTTGATTTGGAGAAAAAAGGACTTTGTAAATCAGGGACATTATCCTCCTTGTAGCAGAGGAGTGGAATAAAGTTAAAAGATGCCTCTGATTGCTTTCTCTCTCTCTCTCTCTCTCTCTCTCTCTCTCTGTCTCTCTCTCTCTCTCCCTGTCTCTCTCTCTCCTTTAATATTTTAAGCTTTTTTTTTCTAAGCTTAATAAACACACAGAAAAAAAGTTCCATAAAAAGAGAACAGAGTATTGTATATGAAGCTACAAATCTCTTTTTCTTACCCCTTACTTTAAAATGTACATATTATAAATTGAATGTCATTTTCAAAATTGCACTGCTTATCCAAGTTTCCTTCTGCTCTCTTCTGTGCAGGTTTTAAAATGTGAAAATAATGGTCTCTTTGTCTTTTTCTCTTCCTCTCCCCCTCTCCCATTCTTATAAGAGTCATTCTCTAAGACAGGAGCCAAGTCCCAAAGTCTTCCTTTCTAAAACTATTTCCTCAAATAAACACTTCGTCATTTTTTATTGCCCATATTTAGTCTATGGTGAACCTTCCAAGAAATCCCTACTTTCCAGGGAAACACAGTTTTGGGCTAAGAACCATGACTTCAGAGAGTCAGTTTCCTGGGTGGTGTTGCTGTTGTTGTTCAGTCCTGTCTGACTCTCCTTGACTCCGTTTGTGGTTTTCTTGGCAAAGATACTGGAGTGGTTTGTTATTTCCTTCTCCAGATTATTTTGTAGATAAGGAAACTGAGTCATACTGAGTTAAGTCTCTTACCCAGGGTCACACAGCTAAGAAGTGTCTCAGGCCAGATTTGAACTCAGGAAGATGTGTTCCTGATTCCATCTACTGCGCCACCTAGCTAGCCTGGGTGGTATACACCAAATCATAAAATGGCAATATTCAAATTCTGTGAGCAAAGAACCCCTTGGTCACAGAGCCCTTGCACCATTCCAGTTGTGAAGAAGAGAGACTTTTGATGACAAGAAGGATCAGATAAAGAGCATCTTAGCTTCTTGGTTTTATAAGTTAACAGACTGGAGAGGAATAGGAAATATCAATTGCTTACAACCCGAATGGTGCTGCTTTCTTCCTCTCAACCCTACACCTCATGTACTCTTCACTATTTCCTCTCAAAAGGTTGCACCTCTAAGTACTGTAGAGTTGAATATGGCTTTTTTTTTTAAAGCCAAAGTCCTTTCTTTTGCTGATCAAATATTCATTATTGCCTTTAAGGTCTGGAAGGCAACATTCTTGACAGAAGCATATGCTTTTTAACTAACTTTAAAAACTTACATATATAAACAAATATATTTATACGTATATATGTGTGTGATGAGGGGTAACGCTGTGATTGATTATAGTATTGATATGGATAGCCCTGAAGAAAAGAAGTTCTATACGATTTTCATTACAAAATAGAATTGGAGGTATGATACCTGGTACATGTTCTCTGTGACATTATTTACTTCATTCTGAGAAAAATGAAGAGCCACATGGTGGCGCTGCAGACTAAGAAGAGGCAGAAAAGCTCCGCGAACACACCAATACCTAGAAAAAGCCCAGAATCAGACAGTTCAGAAGCAGAGAGGGAGCTGCCACTGGAGAGAGATCGGCTTTCCCTACCAGACAGACGAAAGTGGTAGCCTCTGATTACCATTTGCATTCAGGAGGGGGTCGAAGGAACAATGGAACGCCAAGGGAAGAGGATTCTGCAACAAAGGCAAGTTCTCTTTCTTCTTGTTCTGCTGGGTGTGTCTGGGGCGGCCTCAGAGCCCCAGCAGTTTTTGGTAGTGGAGGAGATGGAGAGGGGCTCGTTTGTGGCCAATGTAGCAAAGGCCCTGGGCCTGGAGGTAGGGGAGCTGTCAAATCGGGGGGCCAGGGTCGTTTTCAAAGGGAACAAAGAGTATTTGCAGCTGCACCCTAAAACCGGGGATCTGCTCCTGAGAGAGAAACTGGATCGGGAGGAGCTGTGCGGCCCTGCCGAGCCCTGTGTGCTGCCTTTTCAAATACTACTGGAAAACCCTTTCAGATTATTCAGGCTGAACTGATGGTAGAAGATATTAATGACCATTCACCAGTGTTCCTAGACACTGAGGTGGTACTGAAAATCTCCGAGAACACCTCCCCCGGGACTGTATTTGTACTAGAAAATGCACAGGATTTAGACGTAGGTCACAACAGTCTCCAGAACTACACTATCAGTCCCAACTCCCATTTCCACAGTCAAATTCGGAACAATAGCAAGGGTAAGAGGTACCCAGAGCTTGTATTGGATAAAGCCCTGGATCGGGAGGAGCAATCTGAAGTTCGATTAACTCTCACTGCATTCGATGGGGGAGCCCCACCAAGGTCTGGAACTGTCGAAGTCCGAGTCCTAGTAGTCGATATCAATGACAATGCTCCAGTGTTTACTCAGTACCAGTATGAGGTTCAGATTCCTGAGAACAGTTCCATTGGATCCAAGGTTGTCACCATTTCAGCAACAGATTTAGACACAGGAAATAATGCCGATATATCGTATACATTTTTGCATGCTTCTGAAAACATTCGTAAAACTTTTCAACTAACAGAAAAATCCGGAGAACTTTATTTAAAGCAAAAACTAGATTTTGAGTTAACGCAGTATTACACCATTGACATTCAGGGCACAGATGGTGGAGGTCTTTCGGCAGAATGTACTGTTATGGTTCAGGTGATAGACCTGAACGACAATCCTCCAGAGCTGACAATGTCTTCATTTAACAGTCCCATCCCAGAGAACTCTCCTGAGACAGTCGTGGCTGTTTTCAGGGTTTCAGATCTAGACTCTGGAGAAAATGGAAAGATGATTTGCTTCATCCAAAATGATCTTCCTTTTGCCCTAAAACCTTCTATTGAGAACTTCTATACACTGGTAACACAGGGAGCACTGGACAGAGAGAACAGGTCTGAGTACAACATCACTATTACGGTCACAGATTTGGGATCCCCGAGGCTCAAATCTGAGCACAATATCACGGTGCTCATCTCCGATGTCAATGATAACCCTCCCATGTTTACTCAGAGAGCCTACAAATTGTACCTCCGGGAGAACAATAGCCCTGCCCTCCACATTGGCAGTGTCAGTGCCAGTGACAGGGACTCAGGAATCAATGCCAAAGTCACCTACTCTCTGCTGCCTCCAGAGACTGGAGACCTGCCCCTCTTCTCCTACATCTCCATCAACTCAGACAATGGCCATCTCTATGCTCTGAGATCCCTGGATTATGAAACTATCCAAGCTTTCCAATTCACTGTGAGGGCAGCTGATGGTGGTTCCCCATCTCTGAGCAGCCAGGCTGTGGTTCAGGTTTTGGTAGAAGATGAGAATGACAACTCTCCCTTTGTGCTGTACCCCCCTCAGAATGGCACAGCTCCTTGCCATGACCTGGTGCCCAGAGCTGCAGAGCCAGGGTACCTGGTGACCAAGGTGGTAGCTGTGGATAGGGACTGGGGACAGAATTCCTGGCTTTCCTATCAGCTGCTCAAGGCCACAGACCCAGGACTCTTCACTTTGTTGGCCCATAATGGGGAAGTTCGAACAGCAAGACCCATCAGTGACAGAGACACCATCAAGCAGAGGCTCCTGGTGCTGGTGAAGGACAATGGGCAGCCACCTCTTTCCACAATGGCCACACTCAATGTGCTCCTGGTGGATGGCTTCTCTGAACCCTACATGCAGTTCCCAGATGTACCTAAGGAGCAGGTCCAGAATGACCCCCTTACCACTTACCTAGTCATTTCCCTGGCCTCTGTCTCCTGTCTTTTCCTGGTCTCCATTATTGTGTTCATTGCCCTCCACTTGTGGAAGAGGAAAAGAGATGCTACTGATGATGTTCATTTTAATTCAAATGGTCCCTTCCCAGGACACTTGTTGGACATTAGTGGAATAGGGACTTTGTCGCAGAGCTACCAGTATGAAGTTTACCTGACTAGTGGATCAGGAACCAGTGAATTTAAGTTCCTGAAGCCCGTTATTCCTGCTCTTCCACCTGCTGAGGGAAATGGGAAGGACCCTACTAAGAACCCACACTTGAGAAATAGCTTTTGCTTCACTTAATATTTTGGCCTCTGTTTGAATGAATCATCCTTCACCCCACTTCACCTTATGTTTTCTTTCTGAAGCAAAAAAAATACACTTCTGTGATATCTAATTTAATTTAAAATTCATTCTCTTTCCCACTTTCATAAACATTTTACTCTTCTCTCTGCATCCTTAGCCTGAAAAGCCTCCATTCTTTTTGTCTTTTTATTCTCCTTTTCTATTGCTTCCCACCTCCCCCCCAGATTACTCAAATCTCGCATTAGGTGTTTGGAATGAGTGAACTTTAGCCCATTATAAACTTGGATTTTTACTGCTTATGATCAAGTGATTTAGCAAATATATTGAACATACTCAGCCTTGATTTCTATGGAATTGTCTCCTTCATGTATCACTTGCTGTATCATGTTAGAAAATGTTTTCCAAGGTTCATCCTTTTCTTGATGAACAAGTTGTGCTCCTCTTGAATGGCAATTCAGGTCTTAGTCATTCGTATTTTTCTCCTTTTCACTCTCCTTTGTGTTATCAAAAATTTTCAAAGAGGTGTTATGATTTTACAACTTTGTTGCTGTAGTTACTATAATTTTACACACAACCTTAGTCTTTTTCTTTCATATGTATGTTATTCCATTGGATAATATTTTTAAACAATGAGCTATATTGAAAATATTCATTTTAGTATATATGTGGTTTATTTTTATTTTTCTCAATTTTTCTCAAACACAAAAGTTTTAGCATTTTTTTTATTGGAACTCCAAATTCTGTCCCTTCTTGAGAGGGCAAGTAATGTGATATAGATTATACATGTGCAGTCATGTAAAATATCTCCACATTAGCCATCTTGCAAAAAGAAGACACAGACCAAAAAAAAAATGCCCCAAGAGTAATAAAGTAAAAAGTATACTTCAATCTGCATTCAGACTCCATCAATTCTTTCTCTGGGGGTAGATACCATTTTTCATCATAAGTCCTTGGGAATTGTTTTGGATCATTTTATTGCTGAGAATAGCTAAGTCATTCATACTTGATTATGATACTATATTGCTGTTACTGTGTACAATGTTCTCTTACTTCTGCTCATTTCACTTTCCATTAGTTTGTGTAATTCTCCCCAGGTTTTTCTGAAAGCACCTTGCTCATTATTTTTTATAGCACAATAATATTCCATCAAACTCATATACCACAACTTGTTCAACCATTCCCCAATTGATGGGCATCCCCTTAATTCCAATTCTTTGCCATCACAAAAAGAGCTGCCATCAACACTTTTGTACATATAGATCCTTTTCCTTTGATCTCTTTTGGTGCAGACCTAGTAGTGCTATTGCTGGATCACAGCAATGGAAAATATTCTCTTAATGATTGCCTCTGATTTTGATCTTCAGCTGTAAAAGCTGTTGGGAAAATGACAGAAAAATAGTGGACATTGAAGAATCAGCATAAAACTTTATTAGAATACACCTTCATTATATATATATATATATATATATATATATACATATAATATATATATATATATATATATATATATATATATAGATAATTAGATAATGAAAGGAACCATAAAATGTATTATCTGGAATATAGAATTTATCTCCATTTGGAGACACTTAATTATGAAGGAAACACATTATTCTGATTTCTTAATTCCCAGTAATATTATAAATTAATGACAATAATTAATCTTTACATGAAGCTGTTGTATTGAAAGGTAGTTCTGGTGTATTATTTTAATAAGCTTGTAACAATTTTCTCCTGAAGTCCCACAGATTTGATGCTGAACATGCTTCAAAAGAAAAGGGATTGAAGTAAAATCATTTTACATGAACATTTCCTTTTTTCCTTTCCCTGAAAGTATCTTCTTAATCCCTCACTTTATGGGATTTGCCAATCCAGGGATATTAATGCCTTGGTGAGACAAATGATGTCAAGTGGTGTGTTTTTAAATATCTGAATCTGTGGCCTTTGAGAGACTTGATCATGAGCCCATTTGAAAATGATCAAAGAACTTCACACATGGAAGGGTTATAAGATAATAGATCTAGAGCTGAAGAGACCTCAAGAGCATCTGTTCCAGACCCTTAGTTTTATAGATGAGGAAACTGAGACCAAGAGATATAAAATTGTTGTCCAATATCACACAAGTAATAATAATCAGAGATAGGATTTGAATTTTAGTTGTACATATTGTCTCCCCCAAGTTATTCAGGCTAATTTCTCCCTTCATTGTTTTAAATGTATTTTGATGTTTAAAATTGAAGAAATATAATTTAATATAGACTTCTGTGGAACAAGGCACAATTACCAATATTGGAAAGTAGAAATCAGTTACTTAAAACAGACACATGCAATCTAAGTTTCCAAAATAAATAATCATTTTTAATATACAGACAAATTTTAAAAATATATAAACAAATTCAGATTAAGATGGAAAACCATCCCAAGATACTCAAACTCCACAATGGAGCAGATATGTTTTGCCCTTAAGTGACAATAGATATGCCTAAGCCTCCTAGGAGCTAGGGAAATTGCTGAAGATCACACTGTAACTGTCAGAGACGATTCTGAATCAAGATTTTCATGATTCCAGGTCTTGCCTCTCCAAGAGGCCAATCTGCCTCTCTTTTGATTACATTCACATGAAAACAAACCAATTATCTTCACTGATATTCCATTACTAAATAGCTAATGCATAAGTAGCAAAGTTCTGTAAACAAAACTGATGCCCATCAACTGGCATATGACTAAACAAATTGTGGTACAAGAATGTAATGGAATCTAACTGCACTGAAAGAAACAATAAATCTGAAGAATACAGAGAATCATGGGAAAACAAGCATCAAGTACAGAAAATGAAAGAACATGAAATAAGAAAACAACAAATAATTACTTAAACAAAATAAATAGAAATGGAAACCAAAAATCAAAATTCATAATATGAAATTATAATGCACAAGTTTGGCCCCAAAGAAGAAAAGATTAGCTACATTGTGCAACTTCATTGATGGATTGGTTAGCTTTGCTGATCTATTTTTTCTCTTCATTGTTATTGATGAGTCCCTGAGAACAGGAAGAGGGGAAAATATATTGGCAAATGAATGTGTGTAAAAAGAAAAGATATCAATAATTTTGAACATAAAAAAATTAATATATGACTGTGAAGGCAGGAAAGAAGAGTGTCCTTTCTGCCACAGCATCCTGGAATGTGCAACATCAGCCTAACCTCACATGGAAGGGTCTTAGTCTTTTCTTGGGGTTTTTGTAAGGCTATTTCACAAGCTTCCAGGAAAATTTTCACTGAATGAGTTTTCCCAAAGAAACTTAGATACCTAGAACATGGGTTCCTTAGTTCATTATAAAATAAACACTACACATGTAAAAAGTATTTCTACACATTTCCATAAGTAATGTAGTGTGATGTAGGAGGTGGGGGCCTTTTTTGGGGTAGTAGAAAAGAACTGAGAGGAAAATAAGTACCCATCCATTGATGAACAACTGAATATGTTGCGATATATGGATTAATGCAATTATTATACAGTAAGAAATAACAAATACAAAGAAACAAATATGATGATTTCAGAGAATCTTGGGAAGACTTGCAAGAGCTGACACAGCAACTAAAGCAGAAGGAAGAGAACAAATTACAATTTCAGCACAACTATCTAAAGAAAAACAAATGTGAAAGATTTCAGAATTTCAATTAATGGAGTCACCCATTATGCCTTTAGGGGACTGAAGGTGAAGTATGTCTCCTTTTTCTCTGCAGAAAATTGATTAACTATAGGTGTTGAATGGTGCATATAATTTTTAGGCATTCCTATTGCATTTATTTGCTTTGCTTATTGTATTTTATTGTTAAAAGGGATGTTTGTTGACGATTGAGAGGTGATAATAATGTAAGAAGAATTATAAAACCATTTTAAAATTAGGGGCAGCTCAGAACCATTCTTTCATGCAGGACTCGGACTGAATCAACCTTAGAATAGTGGGTGGCAATCAATAATTAATCATCCCCGCATTCTTTCTTTCTGCCCAGAATCAGGAAAATGGATCTGCTTTCTGAAAAAATACAGATGAGATATAATTTCATGGATTCAGGTCCTAGTGAGTGGATTTTTAGGAATAAAGATACACGTATTTGGGGCGGGGAGGAGTAGTGGATAGTATCTCATCCTTGCTGGCAAGGAGCCCTGAAAACACAGGGTCATTCCTCCAATCCAGTTAAACAAAGCAAAATCAGATCAGAAGTATATGGTACTATCTGGTATTTATTATAGACTCTTGGACTCCAGACATAGAAGAATGTGCATAGCTGAAAATAAGGTCGAAATGCTTCTTTTTTCACACAAGCTTGCCATATATTCTTGCGGTGCCTCAGGATCTTTAAAAGCCATCCCCAGTGGGCCTATTAGATAAAGGTGTGGCTTTTTTTCAGCTTAAATTTTGTGTCAAAATGCCCTAATGGCTGCTTTCTTTTCTCAGTGTATATCTTTAATTTATGCTAGTATCTATGAGGTGTTGGACAAAGTGTCCTAAACCAAAAATACTGTCAATTCTTAGTGCTTGCAACATTGATATAGATTCTATAGAAATCTTTTGAAGTACATAAAGGAATTCAACATTCGGCATCTTATATGAAGAAACACATATTCCGTACATTAACTACTGCATTCTGAGATGATGACGATGAGCCACTTGGTGGCGCTGCAGGCTAAGAAGACGCAACAAAGATCTTCTGATACGCCATTTCCCAGGAAGACAAGCCTGAATCAGTCAAGAAGGGGAACGGAAGCTTTCTTAGCTGGAACAATAGGAAGGGTTCGGGCCTCTCACATTTCTGAGATACCAGCGAGACGGACTAAAGTGGTAGCCTCTGGTTACCATTTGCAGTCGAGGTGGGCTACACAGGCTGAGAGGAGGGGGCGAAAGGAAGAATGGAACGAGAAGGGGCGATCATTATGCAACAAAGGCAAGTTCTCTTTCTTCTTGTTCTGCTGGGTGTGTCTGGGGCAGCCTTAGAGCCACAGCAGTTTTCAGTAGTGGAGGAGATGGAGAGAGGCTCGTTTGTGGCCAATGTGGCAAAGGCCTTGAGCCGGGAGGTGGGGGAGCTGTCAAATCGGGGAGCCAGAGTCGTTTTCAAAGGGAACAAAGAGTATTTGCAGCTGAACCATAAAACTGGGGATCTGCTCCTGAGAGAGAAACTGGATAGGGAGGAACTGTGCGGCCCCGCCGAGCCTTGTGTGCTACATTTTAAGGTCTTACTGGAAAACCCCTTTCAAATTGTTCTGGTGGAATTAAGGGTACAAGACATTAATGATCATTCACCAGTGTTCCTGGAAACGGAGATGCTCCTAAAAATCTCGGAGAGCACTTCTCCCGGGACTGTATTTGTGCTAGAAAACGCACAGGATTCAGACGTAGGAAGCAACAGTATCCAGAACTATACAATCAGTCCCAACTCCCTTTTCCATGTCCAAATTCGAGAGAGCAGTGAGGGCAGGAGATACCCGGAGCTTGTACTGGATGAACCATTGGATCGGGAGAAGCAGTCTGAGGTCACTTTAACTCTCACTGCAGTGGATGGGGGAGCCCCACCAAGGTCTGGAACTGCCCGAGTCCGAGTCGTTATAGTGGATATCAATGACAATGCGCCAGTGTTTGCTCAGCTGCGTTATGAAGTTCAGATCCCTGAGAACACTTCCATTGGATCCAAGGTTGTCACAGTATCAGCCACAGACTTAGACGCAGGGAATTATGGAGAAATATCTTACACATTTTTGCATGCCTCTGAAAACATTCGCAACACCTTTCATCTTAAAGAGGACTTGGGAGAACTTTATCTAAGGGAAAAAGTGGATTTTGAGTTGACTCAGTCTTACATTATAAATATTCAGGCCACAGATGGTGGAGGTCTTTCGGCAGAATGTACTGTTGTTGTCCAGGTGATAGATCTGAACGACAATCCTCCAGAACTGACTATATCTTCACTTACCAGTCCTATCCCAGAGAATTCTCCAGAGACAGTCGTTGCTGTTTTCAGTGTTTCAGATCTTGACTCTGGTGAAAATGGAAAGATGGTTTGCTTCATCCAAGATGACCTCCCTTTTGCCCTGAAACCTTCCATTGAGAACTTCTACACATTGGTAACAGAAGGAGCACTGGACAGAGAGATCAGGGCTGAGTACAACATCACTATAACAGTCACAGATTTGGGGTCCCCGAGGCTCAAATCTGAGCACAATATCACGGTGCTTATATCTGATGTTAATGATAACCCTCCCATGTTTTCTCAGAGAGCCTACAAATTGTACCTCTCAGAGAACAACAGCCCTGCCCTCCTCATTGGCAGTGTCAGTGCCAGTGACAGGGACTCAGGAATCAATGCCAAAGTCACCTACTCTCTGCTGCCTCCAGAGACTAGAGATCTGCCCCTCTTCTCCTACATCTCCATCAACTCAGACAATGGTCATCTCTATGCTCTGAGATCCCTGGATTATGAAGCCATCCAAGGTTTCCAGTTCACTGTGAGGGCAGCTGATGGTGGCTCCCCATCTCTGAGCAGCCAGACTCTGGTTCAGGTTGTGGTACAGGATGAAAATGACACCTCTCCCTTTGTGCTGTACCCCCCTCAGAATGGCACAGCTCCTTGCCATGACCTGGTGCCCAGAGCTGCAGAGCCAGGTTACCTGGTGACCAAGGTGGTGGCTGTGGATAGGGACTGGGGACAGAATTCTTGGCTTTCCTATCAACTAATCAAGGCCACAGACCCAGGACTCTTCACTTTGTGGGCCCACAGTGGGGAAGTTCGAACAGCAAGACCCATCAGTGACAGAGACACCATCAAGCAGAGGCTCCTGGTGTTGGTGAAGGACAATGGGCAGCCACCGCTGTCCACAATGGCCACACTCAATGTGCTCCTGGTGGATGGCTTCTCTGAGCCTTACCTGCAACTCCCAGATGGGGGTAAGGAGCAGGTCCAGAATGACTCCCTTACTACCTATCTAGTCATTTCCCTGGCCTGTGTCTCCTTTCTCTTTCTGGTCTCTGTTATTATGTTCATTGCCATTCGTCTGTGGAAGAGGAAGAAAGATACCACTGATATTAGTCACTTCACTTCCAATGGCCCATTCCCAGGACACTTAGTGGATGTCAGCAAGACAGGGACTCTGTCCCAGACTTATCAGTATGAGGTATGTCTGGCCAGTGGCTCAGGAACCAGTGAATTTAAGTTCTTGAAGCCAGTTGTTCCCATCCTTCCTACTTCAGAGGGAAATGAAGATTCGACTGAAAATTCAGCCTTAAGGAATAGCTTTTGCTTCAATTAGGGTTTGAAATGGGCTTCAATGCACAGAGACCAGGTTTTATGGCTTCTTTCCCTTCCCCCTCTCATTAGTTGCCTGTCTCCCTGTAGCATGAAAGAGTAGATTTTTATACTATTACATCATATCATAATGTATTTATCTTTTCTTTCCATCTCTACACACACATTTCCCTTTTCCCCCTGCATTCTTTCCCTGTAGATCTTTTTCTCTTTCCTCCTTTTGTTCTCTTTATGTCTTTGAATTTTCTCCCAGTTACTCTATTATTTTTTTAAGTGAGTGAACCAGTATATGTTCCCTTTCTCATTTAAAACTTAAATTTTAACGTTCTCCAGTCAAATAATTCAGCAAATATTTTCCCACATGTTCCAACCTGATTGTGACTCCATACTCTCAATCAGAGTTATCCAATCCTATGTCACCTACAAAGGAATGTTTTCCAAGAGTTTGGTATCATGTCAATGAAAACAATTGTGGTTCTCCTAAATGACAATCTAGACATATGTTCAGACCTTCTGGGGGATTTTTCTTCTCTAATTTGCCTGCTCCCCCTTTATTAGTGAAAGATCTTTAGAGAACAGTGATGAATTTGTAACCTGTTAGATGTGGCCCCTAGAGTTTTAATAATTACCTATGTACTTAAAAAATATTAAGAATCAAGGTATTTGCTTGGGGTTTGTTTTTAAATCATGCATAGATATCACTGAAAATATTCTTATTTATGGTTTCTGATGTCAGTCCCCTAAGTAATGCCTGGTTTTGGAAAATAATGAGGACTAATAAAGAACACTAAGGTATTGGTGGAAAAATTTGCTAGAATACATCTTTATGAAGCTAATAAAGACAGCTATATAGTAAATTCTTGTGAAGAAAGATTATATCTTGGTTTGGAGCCAATTATGAAATACTAAATGCCAACTTCTGACCACTGAATATTCCAATGACATTGCACATTAATAATGATTTCTAATCTTTAAATATTCTTAATATAAATTTCAAGAAGTGGAGTAGTGCCTGCCATTATAGCTCTGGGAAGCCATTCTTGTGAGCTACTTTGTATATGTTTATGCCACTTTTTTCCTTCAATCTCATAGATTTGAATTTTTACATCCTTTAGAAGGTCAAGGCATTTACCTCAAAGGATTGTGGTGAGGTTCAAAGGAAATAATATTTGTAAAGATCTTAGCATGGTGCCTGGCACATAACAAGTATTAACTAAATGCTTGTTCCTTTCTCTCCTCAAGGCCTGAAAATAAGTTGAAATAAATATGTCTTTGTTTTCCCTTCTGGTTATTTAAATCATTTTCCAATTTGGGGAACATACCAGTTCATGAGTGTCACCATCTTGGACAAAGTGTGTGCTTTTTTCTCTGTCTGAGGCCTTGGAGAAGATTCATTCATAGCCCTTCTGAATTTTATCACAGAATGTCTGAACTGGAAGGCTCTTCACAAGTATTTCAACTCAGTTCCAGTCCAATCAATGTTCTATTTTGAAGAAATACCATTTACTTTTCATACAAGATATGATCACTTGGATTTGAAAATAGAAGAAAATTGCCTTTATTTGTGGCCAAAATCTATTCTTTAATTTGCAAAAAAAAAAATTTTAAAAATTATTTTGAAAGACAGATTGAAAAGATATACCGTGTCTAACTCTATCATTAGTTGGGGTTCAATATGGTGCAGGCACTTTTCTTCTTTTCATGACCTAATGCACAAAATATTTGTGATTTCTTCAACTTGAGGGACAACTCAGCTGTGACTTAATACACAATCATTAAAATGGGAATAGCCCCTGACACATAGATATTAATTGGCTCAACAATGGCCACATAAGTAGAAAGTGTCAGAGGAGGGATATTTGACTGGGTATTCTTGACTCCAACTAAACATGTTGTCTCTTTTTTGGGGTAACATTACTGTAGAAATGATCCAGATGTCTGTAGTTGTTTTCCCATGATCTTATATCATTAAAACCTAAAATAGAGAATGTGAATTTGGGATGTGGGAGTTTCCAATGTCAGAACATTCTCTGCAGGTAGAATCAGCATATACTCCATTGGGATTTTGTTCTTTTCTTTTTGTTTCTTCTTTTTAGTCTTCTGATTGTTTCAGAAGTTGATTTGGTGGAATAGGGGTTCTATAAATCTAAGGCATTATCTTCCTGGTATGAGAGGAAAGGAGCAAAGTTTTCCTCAGAATGCTCTCTCCTTTCTTTCTTCTCTCTTTCTCTCTGTTTTTTAAAAATATTTTAAAGCTCTTTTTTATTTCTAAGCTTAACAAACACACAAAACAATTCCATAAAAAGAGAACTGAGTGTTGTATATGAAGCTACAAATCTCTATCACCTTCACTTTATTTAAAATGCCCATATTATAAATTTGATGGTATTTTCAAAATTACATTGTTTATGTATGTATCCTTCTGTTTTCTTCTGTGCTGGCTTTAAAATGCTAAAATAATGTTCTTTTTGTTTTTTTCCCTTTTATTTTTTCCCCTGACATTCCTATAAGATTCATTCTCTAAGACTTGAGGCAAGCTCCATTTGCCAGGTTACTACCTCCCCCTTTCCAAACTGATTAGCTCAAACAAAAACTTTATCATCTTTTATGGTGAACCTTCCAAGAAATCCTTCCCCCCCCCCCAGGGAAACACAGTTCTAGGCTAAGAATGCTCCCTTCCTTGAGAGTCAGTTTCCTGGCTGGTATTTGTGCTATTGTTAGTTCCTTCTCCAGCTCATTTTACAGATCAGGAAACTGAGGCACACAGGGTTAAGTATTCCCCAGGGTAACACAGCTAGGAAATGTCTGAGGCAAGATTTGAACTCAGGAAGGTGTTTTCCTGATTCCAGGCCCAACACTCAATCCACTATGCCACTTAGCCGGCCCGGGTGGTACATATTGAATCATAAAAGAGTAATATCCAGATTGTGTTAACAAAGAGCCCATTGGCCTCAGAACCCTTGCGCCATTCCAGTTGTGAAGAAGAAAGACCTTTGATGACAAGAAAGATCAGTTAAAGAACATCTTAGCTTGTTGGTTTTTATAAGGAAGACTTGAGAGGAAGAAGAAATATCAGTTGCTTACAACCTGGATGCTGCTGTTTCCTTCCCCCTAACTACACCCCACACCCCATCCAGTCTTCACCATTTACTCTCAAAAGGTTGCCTGCCTCTCTAAGCATTGTAGAATTGAGTATAAGGGTTGTTTTTTAGCCCAAGTCCTTTCTTTTGGTGATCAAATATTCATTATTGCCTTTAGGGTCTGAAAGGCAACATTCTTGACAGAAGCATATGCTTTTTAACCAACTTTTAAAAACTTACATATATAGATAAATACATTCATATGCCTATATGTGTGTGGTGTGAGGTAACGTTGTGAGTGGTTATAACATTGATATGGATCGCCCTGCAGAAAAGAAACTATGTACCATTTGTATTACAAAATAGAATTGGAAGTATGATATCTGGTACGTGTTCTCTGTGACATTATTTACTTCATTCTGAGAAAAATAATGAAGAGCCGCGTGGTGGCGCTGCAGACTAGGAAGAGGCAGAAAAGCTCCGCGAACACACCAATACCCAGAAAGAGTCCAGAATCATTAAGTTCAGAAGCAGAGAGGGAGCTTTGTTAGCTGATACTGGAGAAAGGGATCCGCTCTCCCTGCGAGACGGACTAAAGTGGTAGCCTCTGATTATCATTTGCATTCAAGCAGGGCTACACAGATTGAGAGGAGGGGGTCGAAGGAACAATGGGACGCCAAGGGAAGATGATTCTGCAACAAAGGCAAGTTCTCTTTCTTCTTGTTCTGCTGGGTGTGTCTGGGGCAGCCTCAGAGCCGCAGCAGTTTTCAGTAGTGGAGGAGATGGAGAGAGGCTCGTTTGTGGCCAATGTGGCAAAGGCCTTGGGCCGGGAGGTGGGGGAGCTGTCAAATCGGGCGGCCAGAGTCGTTTTCAAAGGGAACAAAGAGTATTTGCAGCTGCACCCTAAAACCGGGGATCTGCTCCTGAGAGAGAAACTGGATCGGGAGGAGCTGTGCGGCCCTGCCGAGCCCTGTGTGCTGCCTTTTAAGATCCTACTGGAAAGTCCCTTTCAGATTGTTCGGGCTGAACTGATGGTGGAAGATATTAATGACCATTCCCCAGTGTTCCTAGATACTGAGATGGTGCTCAAAATCCCTGAGAACACCTCCCCCGGGACTGTATTTGTACTAGAAAATGCACAGGATTTAGACGTAGGTCACAACAGTCTCCAGAACTACACTATCAGTCCCAACTCCCATTTCCACAGTCAAATTCGGAACAATGGGAAGGGTAAGAGATACCCAGAGCTTGTATTGGATAAAGCCCTGGATCGGGAGGAGCAATCTGAAGTTCGATTAACTCTCACTGCATTCGATGGGGGAGCCCCACCAAGATCTGGAACTGCCCAAGTCCGAGTCCTTGTCGTCGATATCAATGACAATGCCCCCGTTTTCACTCAGTCCCGTTATGAGGCTCAGATGCTGGAGAACAGTTCTATTGGATCTCAAGTCGTCACAGTTTCAGCAACAGATTTAGACGCAGGAAATAATGCAGATATATCGTATACATTTTTGCATGCTTCTGAAAACATTCGTAAAACTTTTCAACTAACAGAAAAATCTGGAGAACTTTATTTAAAGCAAAAACTAGATTTTGAGTTAACTCAGTTTTATATCATCGACATTCAAGGCACAGATGGTGGAGGTCTTTCGGCAGAATGTACTGTTACTGTTCAGGTGATAGATCTGAACGACAATCCTCCAGAGCTGACAATGTCTTCACTTACCAGCTCCATACCAGAAAATTCTCCTGAGACAGTCGTGGCTGTTTTCAGTGTCTCAGATCTAGACTCTGGGGAAAATGGAAAAATTGTATGTTCCATAAAAGATGATCTTCCTTTTGCCCTGAAACCTTCCATTGAAAACTTCTACACACTGGTAACAGAAGGAGAACTGGACAGAGAGAGCAGGGCTGAATACAATATCACTATAACAGTCATGGATTTGGGATCCCCGAGGCTCAAATCTGAGCACAATATCACGGTGCTCATCTCTGATGTCAATGATAACCCTCCCATGTTTTCTCAGAGAGCCTACAAATTGTACCTCCGGGAGAACAATAGCCCTGCCCTCCACATTGGCAGTGTCAGTGCCAGTGACAGGGACTCAGGAATCAATGCCAAAGTCACCTACTCTCTGCTGCCTCCAGAGGCTGGAGACCTGCCCCTCTTCTCCTATGTCTCCATCAACTCAGACAATGGCCATCTCTATGCTCTGAGATGCCTGGATTATGAAGCCATCCAAGCTTTCCAATTCACTGTGAGGGCAGCTGATGGTGGTTCCCCATCTCTGAGCAGCCAGGCTGTGGTTCAGGTTTTGGTAGAAGATGAGAATGACAACTCTCCAGTTGTGCTGTACCCCCTGCAGAATGGCACAGCTCCCTGCAATGACCTGGTGCCCAGAGCTGCAGAGCCAGGGTACCTGGTGACCAAGGTGGTAGCTGTGGATAGGGACTGGGGACAGAATTCCTGGCTTTCCTACCAGCTGCTCAAGGCCACAGACCCAGGACTCTTCACTTTGTTGGCCCACAATGGAGAAATTCGAACAGCAAGACCCATCAGTGACAAAGATACCATCAAGCAGAAGCTCCTGGTGTTGGTGAAGGATAATGGACAGCCACCTCTGTCCACAATGGCCACACTCAATGTGCTCCTAGTGGATGGCTTCTCTGAGCCCTATATGAAGTTCCCAGATGTACCTAAGGAGCACATCCAGACTGACTCCCTCACCACCTATCTAGTCATTTCGCTAGTCTCAGTCTCCTTTCTCTTCCTGGTCTCTGTTATTATGTTCATTGCCATTCGCCTGTGGAAGAGGAAGAGAGATGCTACTGATGGTGGTCATTTTAATCCAAATGGCCCCTTCCCAGGTCACTTGGTGGATGTCAGTGGAACAGGGACTTTATCTCAGAGATACCAGTATGAGGTTTGCCTGACTAGTGGTTCAGGGACCAGTGAATTTAAATTCCTTAAGCCCATTATTCCTAGCCTTCCACCTGCTGAGGGAATTGGGAAGGAACCTACTGAGAACCCGCACTTGAGAAATAGCTTTTGTTTCACTTAATATTTTGACTTCTGTTTCAATAGATCGTTCCACCTCCACCACCTGCAATTGTCTTTCACTCTTTATATAACAAAAATATACTTCTTTGATATCCCATTTTATTGATATTTATCCTCTTTCTCCCCTTCATAAACATTTTTCTCTTCTTTCTGCATGTGCTTAGCCTGAAAAGCTTTCATTCTGTACTCTTTTTATTCTCCTTTTGTATTTGAGTTTTCCCCAGGTGACTCAAATCTCTCGTTAGTTTTTAGGAATGAGTGAACCTTAATACATTATAAACTTGGATGTTTAATGCTTCTGATCAAGTAATTTAGCAAATGTATTGAACACACTCAGTCTTGGTTTCTATGGAATTCTTTTCCTCCTGTATCATTTCCAGTAGTGTACTTTAGAAAATGTTTCCCAAAGTTCATCCTTTTCTTGGTGAATATAATTGTACTCCTCTCGAATGGTAATTCATGTTTTACTCATTTGTATTTTTTTCCTTTTCATTCTCTTTTGTGTTATGAAATTTTCAAAGAGGTGCTATGATTTTACAACTTTGTTGCTGTGGTTACTATAATTTTACACATAACCATAGTTGTTTCCTTTGACATTCATGGAATTCAATTGGATAATGTGTTTAAACAATGTGCTACATAGAAAATATTCCTTTTTAGTACATATGTTGTTTATTTTTATTTTTCTTAGTTGTATGTGAACAAAAGAGTTATGTTTTTTTTTTAATTTTGAGCTCTGAATTCTCTTCCTCCTTAGGTGGGCAAGCAACTTGATATAGATTATACATGTACAGTAATGTAAAACATCTTCATATTAGCGATATTGCAAAAGAAATCAGACCAAAAAAATCCAAGAATAATAAAGTAAGAAAGTGTACCTCATTCTGAATTCAGACTCCATCAGTTCTTTCTGTGGAGGTAGAAGGCATTTTTCAATATAAGTCCTCAGAAATTGTTTTGGATCATTTTTTTTGCTAAGAATAGCTAAGTCATTCATAATTGATTGTCATACAATATTGTTGTTACTTTGTACAATGTTCTCCTAGTTCCACTCATTTCTCTTTGCTTCACTTCATGTATGTCTTCCCAGATTTTTCTGAAAGTACCCTGCTCATTACTTTTTGTAGCACAATAGTCCTCCATCACAATCATATATCACAACTTGTTCAACTGTTCCCCAATTAATGGACATCCCCTTGATTTCCAATAGTTTTTCATCACAAAAAGAACTGCTACCAATATTTTTGTACACATAGGCCCTTTTCCTTTCCTTTGGTCTCTTTGAGGTGCAGACCCACTAATGGTATTGCTGGGTCAAAGCATAAGCACAGTTGAAAATATTCTCTTAATCATGGTCTCTGATTTTGATCTTCAGCTGCATAATGACTGTTGGGGAACTAATGTAAAAATAATGGACATTGAGGAATCAGTATAAATTTTATAAGAGTACACCTTTGTGAAGATAATGAAAAGAACCATAAAATTAATTATCCTGAATATAGACTGTATCTCCATTTGGAGACTCATAATTATGAAGGAAGCATAGTACTCTACTTTCTGAATTCCCAGTAATATTAAAAATTAATGATAATAATTACTCTTTACAGGAGGCTCTGGTGTTGAAACACAGTTCTGGTGTACTACTTCTAATAGGCTTGTAACACTTTTCTCCTGAAGTCTTACATATTTGATTCTGAACATCCTTCAAAATAAAAGGGATGGAATAAAAATCATTTTACATGAACATTTCTTTTTTTCCTTTCCCTGAAGGAATCCCATTAATTATGTACCTTGTGGGATGTGCCAATCCAGGAATATTAACCTCTTGTTCAAATGAATGACATCAAGTGATATTTTTAATATCTGAGTCTGTGGCCTTTGAAAGACTTGATCATGAGCACATCTGAAAATGATCCAAGAACTTCAGATATGGAGGGGTCATAAGGTAATATATCTAGTGCTAAAGAGACCTCAGAAGTATCTGCTCATAGATGAGGCAACTGAGACCAAGATCTAAAATTGTTTGTCCAATATCACATAAGTAATAACAATCAGAGATAGGATTTGAATTTTAGTTGTACATATTGTCTCCCCCACATTATTCGGGCCAATTTCTCCCTTCATTTTTAAAATATATTTTGATGTTTAAAATAGAAGAAATATAATAATATTTTTGTGGAACATATTTTGTGGAAAATAATAATAATTTTGCGGAACAAATTATCATGCTAACATACCCAAACTCTACAATGGAGCAGATGCCTTTTGACCTTAAGTGACAATAGATGTTCATGAGGCTCCTAGTGGCTAAGGAAATTGATGAGAAACACACTGTAACTGTCAGAGATGGGACTGAACCAAAATTTTTAAGATTCTAAGTCCTACCACTCCAAGAGGCCAATTTGCCTCTCCTTTGGTTACATTCACATGAAAATGAACCAATTATCTTCATTGATATTCCATTACTAAATAGCTAATGCATAAGTAGCAAAGTACTGTAAACAAAACTGATGCCCATCAACTGGCATATGACTAAACAAATTGTGGCACAAGGATGTAATGAAATCTAACTGCACTGAAAGAAACAATAAATCTGAAGAATACAGAGAATCATGGGAAGACAAACAACAAGCGGTAGAAAACAAAATAAGATGAAACAAGAAAACAACATAAACAATTACTTAATCAAAATAAATGGAAACGACAACCAAAAATCAAAACTAAGTATGAAATTATAATGCGTAAGTTTGGCCTCAAAGAAGATAAGATTAGCTATAATATTAAACTTGGTTGATAGATTAGCTAGCCTTTCTGATCTGTTTTTTTCTCTTCATTATCAGTGATGGATGTCTGAGAATGGGAAGAGGGAGGGATATATTGGGAAATGGATATATGTAAAACCAAAAGATATCAATAATTTTAAAAAGAAAAAAAACATGAATGTGAAGTCAGGGATGGAGAGTGTTCCCTTTGGCACAGCATCCTGGGATGTGTGACATCAACCTAACCTCCCACAGAAGGGTTTTAGCCTTTTTTTTTTTTTAGTTTTCATAGGGTTATTTCATAAGCCTCCAGGTAGATTTTTCATTGAAAGAATTTTCATGAAGAAACTTGGATATGTAGAAGATGGGTACCTAAGTTCATTATCAAATGAGCACCACCAAAGTAAAAAGCATTTCTGCCCATTACCATAACTACTGTAGTGTGATGTGGGATGTATAGGGCTTTTTTGGATAGTAGGAAAGAACTGAAAGGAAAATAAGTGCTTATCTATTGATGAATGACTGAATAAATTGTGATATATGAATCAATGCAATTATTATGCAGCAAGAAATAACAAATACAAAGAAACAAATATGAAGATTTCAGAGAAACTTGGGAACACTTTTAAGAACTGACACAGCAACAAAAGCAGAAAGAGGAGAATAACTTACATTTAAAGCAAGATAACCTAAAGAAAAACAAATCAGAAAGATTTCAGAATTCCAATCAACGCAGTAACCCATTATGCCTTTAGGGGACTGAAGGTGAATTATGCCTCCTCTTTCTCTGTAGAAAATCGGTTGATTATAGGTATTGAATGGTACATTAATTTTGGGGCATTCCCATCGTGTTGATTTTCTTTATTTAAGCATATTTTGTTTGTAGAAGTGAGTCATTGTGAGGTGATGAGGATATATTTTTTTAAAGTATTTATAAAACCACTTAAAAATAAAGGGCAGCTCAGAACCATTCTCTCGTGCAGGACTCAGGTCGAATCAACGTTAGAATATCGGGTTCTAATCAATAAGTAGATCATCTCTCCATTCTTTCTTGCCCAGAATCAGGAAAATGGATCTCCTTTCTGAGAAAATACAGATTCATATTCTGAGAAAATACATATTCATGTCCCAGTGGGTGGATTTCTATGAATATACATACACTCATTTGGGTGGGGGGAGATTAATGAATAGTATCTTATCCTTGCTGGCAAGGAGCTCTCAAATCACAGGGTCATTCCTCAAATCCAGTTAAGCAGATCCTTTACAAACTGGCAAAATCACATCAACAGTATATGCTACTGTCTGGTGTATATTATAGATTCTTGGATTTCAGGAGGAGAAGAACATTCATAGCTGAAAATAAAGCCAAAATGCTTCCCTTTGCACCCCAAGCTTACCATTTATTCTTGCTCTGCCTTGGAATCTCTAAAACCATCCCCATTGGGCCTACTAGATGAAAGGTGTGGCTTTTTCTCAGGTTAAATATTGCATCAAAATGCCCTAATGGCTCCATCCTTTTCTTAGTGCATATCTTTAATTTATACTTATATCTGTGAGGTGTTGGACAAAGTGTCCTAAACCAAGACAGAGTGTCATTTCTCAGTGCTTGCAACTTTGATATAGATTACCTTGTAAAGAACCAACCAGGAATCCTTTGAAATACATAGAGGAATTCAACATGCGGCATCTGATATGAAACACACATTCCGTGCTTTATGAACCGCATTCAGAGATGATGATAATGAGCCACGTCGTGGCGCTGCAGACTAAGAAGACGCAAAAACGATCGGCGCATACACTTATTTCCCAGAAAGACAAGCCTGAACCAGTCAAGAAGGAGAAGGGAAGCTTTCATAGCTGCACCAATACGAAGGTTCCGGAGCCTTTGTATTTCTGAGATATGAGTCAAACGGACAAAACGTGTAGCCTCTCGTTACCATTTGTAATCGAGCTGGGTTGCACAGGCTGAGAAGAGGGGGCGAAAGGAAGAATGGAACGAGAAGGGGCGATCATTCTGCAACAAAGGCAAGTTCTTTTTCTCCTTTTTCTACTGGGTGTGTCTGGGGCGGCCTCAGAGCCACAGCAGTTTTCAGTAGTGGAGGAGATGGAGAGAGGCTCCTTTGTGGCCAATGTGGCAAAGACCCTGGGCCTGGAGATGGGGGAGCTGTCAAATCGGAGGGGCAGAGTCTCTTTCAAAGGGAACAAAGAGTGTTTGCAGCTGAACCACAGAACTGGGGATCTGCTCCTAAGAGAGAAATTGGATCGCGAGGAGCTGTGCGGCCCCGCCGAACCCTGTGTGCTGCCTTTTCAGATATTACTGGAAAAGCCCTTTCAGATTGTTCGGGCAGAATTAAGGGTACAAGACATTAATGATCATTCACCAGTGTTCTCAGAAACTGAGATGCTTCTAAAAATCCCGAGAGTACCTCCCCCGGGACTGTGTTTCTACTAGAAAATGCTAGAGATTTAGACGTAGGAAACAATAGTCTCCAGAACTACGCAATCAGTCCCAACTCCCTTTTCCATGTTCAAATTCGAAAGAGCAGTGAGGGCAGGAGATACCCAGAGCTTGTGTTGGACAAAGCCCTGGATCGGGAGGAGCAGTCTGAGGTCACTTTAACTCTCACTGCAGTGGATGGGGGAGCCCCACCAAGGTCTGGAACTGCCCAAGTCCGAGTCCTCATAGTGGATATCAATGACAATGCCCCCGTGTTCACTCAGTCCCAGTATGAGGCTCAAATCCCTGAGGACAGTTCCATTGGATCCAAGGTTGTCACAGTCTCTGCCACAGACTTAGACACAGGAAATAATGCAGATATATCCTATATGTTATTGTATCCCTCTGAAAACATTCGTAAAACTTTTCACCTTAAAGAGAAATTGGGAGAACTTTATTTAAAGGAAAAAGTGGATTTTGAGTCAACTGAATCTTACATTATAAATATTCAAGCCACAGATGGTGGAGGTCTTTCTGCAGAATGTACTGTTATTATCCAGGTAATAGATCTGAATGACAATCCTCCAAAGCTGACCATGTCTTCACTTACCAGTCCCATCCCAGAGAATTCTCCAGAGACAGTCGTCGCTGTTTTCAGGGTTTCAGATCTAGACTCTGGAGAAAATGGAAAGATGGTGTGCTCCATCCAAGATGACCTTCCTTTTGCCCTGAAACCTTCTGTTGAGAACTTCTACACATTGGTAACAGAAGGAGCACTGGACAGAGAGATCAGGGCTGAGTACAACATCACTATAACAGTCACAGATTTGGGGTCCCCGAGGCTCAAATCTGAGCACAATATCACGGTGCTTATATCTGATGTTAATGATAACCCTCCCATGTTTACTCAGAGAGCCTACAAATTGTACCTCTCAGAGAACAACAGCCCTGCCCTCCTCATTGGCAGTGTCAGTGCCAGTGACAGGGACTCAGGAATCAATGCCAAAGTCACCTACTCTCTGCTGCCTCCAGAGACTAGAGATCTGCCCCTCTTCTCCTACATCTCCATCAACTCAGACAATGGTCATCTCTATGCTCTGAGATCCCTGGATTATGAAGCCATCCAAGGTTTCCAGTTCACTGTGAGGGCAGCTGATGGTGGCTCCCCATCTCTGAGCAGCCAAGTTCTGGTTCAAGTTTTGGTAGAAGATGAGAATGACAACTCTCCCTTTGTGCTGTACCCCCCTCAGAATGGCACAGCTCCCTGCAATGACCTGGTGCCCAGAGCTGCAGAGCCAGGGTACCTGGTGACCAGGGTGGTGGCTGTGGATAGGGATTGGGGACAGAATTCTTGGCTTTCCTATCAACTAATCAAGGCCACAGACCCAGGACTCTTCACTTTGTTGTCCCATAATGGGGAAGTTCGAACAACAAGACCCATCAGTGACAGAGACACCATCAAGCAGAGGCTCCTGGTGTTGGTGAAGGACAATGGGCAGCCACCTCTGTCCACAATGGCCACACTCAATGTGCTCCTGGTGGATGGCTTTTCTGAGCCTTACCTGCAACTCCCAGATGGGGGTAAGGAGCAGGTCCAGAATGACTCCCTTACCACTTACCTAGTCATCTCCCTGGCCTGTGTCTCCTTTCTCCTCCTGTTCTCTATTATTATGTTCGTTGCCATTTGCCTGTGGAAGCGAAAGAAGGATAGCACTGACATTAGTTGCTTCACTTCCAATGGCCCCTTCCCAAGACACTTAGTGGATGTCAGCAGGACAGGGACCTTGTCCCAGGCTTACCAATATGAGATGTGTCTGGCCAGTGGCTCTGGAACCAGTGAATTTAAGTTCTTGAAGCCAGTTGTTCCCATCCTTCCTACTTCAGAGGTAAATGAAGATTCGACTGAAAACTCAGCCTTAAGGAATAGCTTTTGCTTCAATTAGGGTTTGAAATGGGCTTCAATGCACAGAGACCAGGTTTTATGGCTTCTTTCCCTTCCCCCTCTCATTAGTAGCCTGTCTTCCTGCAGCATGAAAGAGTAGATTTTGATACTATTATATTGTATCATAATGTATTTATATTCTCTTTCCTCCTCTACACACATATTTTCCTTTTTTCCCTTCATTCTTTCACTGTAAATCTTTCTTTCTCTCTTTCTTCTTTTTGTTCTCTTTATGTCTTTGAATTTTCTCCCAGTTACTCTATTATTTTTTAAAGGGGTGAACCAGTATTCCCTTTCTCATTTAAACCTTAAATTTTAAGTTTCCTCAGTCAAATAATTCAACAAATGTTTCTGAAGTACTCAGATATGATTTTGACTCCATATCTCACTCAGAGTTATCCAATTTGTGTTACCTACAAAGGAATGTTTTCCAAGCATTTATTCTTATTGTGTCAATGAAAACAATTGTGTTCTCCTGAAGTGACATTCAGGCATCTATTCTGACCTTCTGGGGGATTTTTCTTCTCTAATTTGCCCCACCCCCTTTTTAGTGAAAGATCTTCAGAGAACAGAGATGATCTTGTAACCTATTGGATGTAACCCCTAGAGTTTTTATAATTACCCGTGTACTTAAAAAATATTAAGAATCAAGATATTTGCTTGAATTTTGTATTTAAATGGTGCATAGAAATCAGTGAAAATATTCTTATTTGTGGTTTCTGATGTCAGTCCCCTAAGTAATGCCTGGTTTTGGAAAATAACAAGGAATAATAAAGAACACTAAGGTATTGGTGAAAAATTGGCTGGAATACACCTTTATGAAGCTAATAAAGACTATTTTAGGTTAAATTCTTATGAAGAAAGAATATATCTTGGTTTGGAGACAATTATGAAATACTAAATGCAGACTTCTGACCACTGAATATTCCAATGACATTGCACATTAATGATGATTTCCTATCTTTACATGTCCTTTATAAAAATGTCAAGAAGTGGAGTAGTACCCGTTATATCTCTGTTAAGTCAAATTTTATGTCACTTTTTTCTTCAGTCTCGTAGATTTGAATTTTTACATCCTTTAGAAGGTCAAGGCATGTACCTCACAGGGTTGTGGTGAGGTTCAAAGGAAATAATATTTGTAAAGATCTTAGCACATAGTAAGTATTAACTAAATGCTTGTTCCTTTCCCTCCTCAAGGCCTGAAAATAAGTTAAAATAAGTATGTCTTTGTTTTCCCTTCTGGTTATTTAAATCATTTTCCATTTTGGGGAATATGCCAATTCATGAGTGTCACCATCTTGGACAAAGTGTGTGTTTTTATAATATCTGTCTGAGGCCTTCGAGAGGATTCAGCCATAGCCCTTCTGAATTTTATCACAGAATGTCTGAACTGGAAGGGTTTTCACAAGTATTTCAACTCAGTTCCAGTTCAATCAATGTTCAATTTTGAAGAAATACCATTTGCTTTTCATACAAGATATGATCACCTGGATTTGAAATAGAATAAAATTTCATTTATTTGAGGCCAAAATCTATTCTTTAATTTGCAAAAATACAAGTTTTTAAATTATTTTTAAGAATTGGTTAAGAAGATATATCATGTCTCCCTCTATCATTATTTGGGGCTCAAAATGGGGCAGGAACTTTTCCTCTTTTCATGACCTAATGCACAAAAGATTTGTGATTTCTTGAACTTGAGGAACAATTCAGCTGTGACTTAATACACAATCATTAGGAAGTAGCCCCTGGCACATAGATGTTAAGTGGCTCAGCAATGGTCAAATAAGTAGTAAACATTAGAGGATGGATCTTTGACTGGGTATTCCTGACTCCAATCTAAACATGTTTTCTCCTAAACCATGCTGCTTCTGTTTTGGGTAACATTATTGTAGAAATGATCTAGTTGTCTGCAGTTATATACCCATGATCATATATCATTAAAACTTAAAATAGAAAATGTGAAGGTGGGATAGGGATAGTTTCTAATGTTAAAACATTCTCTGCAGGTAGAATCAGTATATATTCTACTGGAATTGTATTCTTCTTCCTCTTCTGATTGTTTCAGAAATTGATTTGGTGAAATATGGACTTTATAAATCAAAGTCATTATCTTCCTGATAGGAGAAGCAAAGAGTAAAGTTAAAAGATGTCTCAGAGTTATTCTCTCTCTCTCTCTCTCTCTCTCTCTCTCTCTCTCTCTCTCTCTCTCTCTCTCTCTCTCTCTCTCTTTGGGTTTTTAAAATTTTAAGCTTTTTATTTCTAAGCTTAACATGCACCACAAAATCCTGTATAAAAAAAAGAAGAGAGTATTGTATATGAAGCCACAAATCTCTATTACTTACACTTTACTTTAAAAAGCACATATTATAAATTTAGTGTTGTTTTCAAAATTGCCCTGCTTATCTATGTTTCCTTCTGCTCTCTTCTGTGCAGGTTTTAAGATGCTAAAAATAATACTCTTTTTTTGTTTGCTTCTCTCTCTTTTTTTCATTGACATTCCTATAAGAGTCATTCTGTAAGACAGAATCCCAGTTCCATTTACCATATTACCACCTCCCCCTTTCTAAACTTATTGTCTCAAATGAATGCTTTGTCACCTTCTATTATCCACATTAAGTCTATGGTGAATCTTCCAAGAAATCTCCTTTTCCCAGGGAAACAGTTCTGAGCTAATAACCCTCACTTCCAGAGTGTCAATTTCCTGGCTGGTGTTGGTGTTGTTCAGTTGTGTCTGACTTTTCATGGCCCAATTTTGGATTTTCTTGGCAGGACGCTGTAGTTCTTTGCCATTTCCTTCTCCAGCTCATTTTACAGATGAGTAACTGAGGCAAACAGGGTTATGTGACTTGCCCTGGATCACACAGCTACAAAGTGTCTAAGACCAGCTTTGAACTCAGGAAGATGTCTTCCTGACTCCATCCACTGCGCCACCCAGCTGCCCTGGGTGGTATATACTGAATCATAAAACGGTAATATCCAAATTCTGTTGACAAAGAGCCCCTTGGCCACAGAACCCAGTTGTGAAGAAGAAGACCTTTGATGACCAGAAAGATCAAATAAGGAACATCCTAGCTTTTTGATCTTTTAAGTTCACAGACTTGAAAGGAAGAGGAAGCATCAGCTGCTTACATTCTGGATGCTGCTGCTTCCTTCCTCCCTAACCCACCCCCATCCAATCTCCACCATTTACTCTCTCTGTCTGACTCTTGGTCTCAAAAGGTTGCCCCTCTGAGCATTGTAAACTTGAGTACGGCTTTTTCCTAGCTCAAGTCCTTTCTTTTACAGGTCAAAAATTCATTGTTGCCTTTGGGGTCTGGAAGGCTACATTCTTGACAGAAGCACATGTTTTTCAACCAACTATATATTTATATGCATATGTGTGCATGGTGTGCGGCATTGTTCTGAGTGGTTATAACATTGATATGGATCGCCCTACAGAAAAGAAGTTACATATCATTTTCATTACAAAATAGAATTCGAAGTACGATATCTAGTACATGTTCCCTGTGACCTTATCTACATCGTTCTGAGAAAAATGATGCAAAGCCACATGGTGGCGTTGCAGACTAGGAAGAGGCAGAAAAGCTCCACGAACACACCAATACCCAGGAAAAAGCCCAGAATCAGACAGTTCAGAAGCAGAGAGGAAGATAAATTAGCTGCCACTGGAGAAAGAGATCGGCTGTCCCCTCCAGACGGACGAAAGTGGTAGCTTCTGATTGCCGTTTGCGGTCAAGCTGGGCTACATGGATTCACAGGAGAGGGTCGAAAGAGCAATGGAACGCGAAGGGACGATGAATCTACAACAAAGGCAAGTTCTTTTTCTCCTTGTTCTGCTGGGTGTGTCTGGGGCGGCCTCAGAGCCACAGCAGTTTTCAGTAGTGGAGGAGATGGAGAGAGGCTCCTTTGTGGGCAATGTGGCAAAGGCCTTGGGCCGGGAGGTGGGGGAGCTGTCAAATCGGGCGGCCAGAGTCGTTTTCAAAGGGAACAAAGAGTATTTACAGCTGCATCCTAAAACTGGGGATCTGCTCCTGAGAGAGAAACTGGATCGAGAGGAGCTGTGCGGCTCTGCCGAGCCCTGTGTCCTGCCTTTTAAGATCTTACTGGAAAACCCTTTTCAGGTCTTTCGCTCTGAGCTTAGGATACAAGACATAAATGATCATTCACCAGTATTCCTAGACACTGAGATGGTACTAAAAATCCCCGAGAACACCTCCCCTGGCACTGTGTTTCTATTAGAAAATGCTCAGGATCTAGATATAGGAAGCAACAGTCTCCAGAACTACACTATCAGCCCCAACTCTCATTTCCACATTCAAATTCGAGGGGATGCAGAGAGAATGAAATATTCAGAGCTTGTACTGGATAAAACCCTGGATCGGGAGAAGCAGCCTGAGTTTAGATTAACTCTCACTGCAGTGGATGGGGGAGCCCCACCCAGGTCTGGAACTGCCCAAGTCCTTGTGTTGGTTATGGACATCAATGACAATGCCCCTGTGTTCTCTCAGTCCCGGTATGATGTTCAAATTCCTGAGAACAGCCCTATTGAGTCCCTCATTGCTACCGTCTCAGCTAAAGATTTGGATGCAGGAAATAACGCAGAGATTTCCTATTCGTTATTCCATGCCTCTGAAAGTATTCGTAAAACCTTCCAATTACATGAAAAATCCGGAGAACTTCGTTTAAAAGACAAACTGGATTTTGAGTCAGTTCAGTCTTACATAGTAAATATTCAGGCCACAGATGGTGGTGGCCTTTCTGGAAAATGCACTATAGTTGTTCAAGTGAAGGATTTAAACGACAATCCTCCTGAGCTGACTATGTCCTCATTTACCAGCCCCATCCCAGAGAACTCGCCTGAGATAGTGGTCGCTGTTTTCAGCATTTCAGATGCAGACTCTGGGGAAAATGGAAGAATAGTTTGCTCCATCCAAGATGATCTTCCTTTTGCTCTAAAATCTTCTTTTGAGAACTTCTATACATTGGTAACAGAGGGAGCGCTGGACAGAGAGAACAAGGATGAATATAACATCACTATTATGGTCACAGATTTGGGGTCGCCCAGGCTCAAAACTGAGCACAATCTCACAATATTTATCTCTGACGTCAATGATAACCCCCCAGTGTTTTCTCAAAGAGCCTACAAATTGCACCTCCAAGAGAACAACAGCCCTGCCCTCCACATTGGCAGTGTCAGTGCAAGTGATAAGGACTCAGGAATCAATGCCAAAGTCACCTACTCCCTGCTGCCTCCTGAGACTGGAGATCTGCCCCTCTTCTCCTACATTTCCATCAACTCAGACAATGGCCATCTCTATGCTTTGAGATCCCTGGATTATGAAACTATCCAAGCTTTCCAATTCACTGTGAGGGCAGCTGATGGTGGTTCCCCATCTCTGAGCAGCCAGGCTGTGGTTCAGGTTTTGGTAGAAGATGAGAATGACAACTCTCCAGTTGTGCTGTACCCCCTGCAGAATGGCACAGCTCCCTGCAATGACCTGGTGCCCAGAGCTGCAGAGCCAGGGTACCTGGTGACCAAGGTGGTGGCTGTGGATAGGGACTGGGGACAAAATTCCTGGCTTTCCTATCAGCTGATCAAGGCCACAGACCCAGGACTCTTCACTTTGTTGGCCCACAATGGGGAAGTTCGAACAGCAAGACCCATCAGTGACAGAGACACTATCAAGCAGAAGCTCCTGGTGTTGGTGAAGGACAATGGGCAGCCATCTTTGTCCACAATGGCCACACTGAATGTGCTACTGGTGGATGGATTCTCTGAGCCATATGTGAAGATCCAAGATTCTAACAAGGAGCAAGTGCAGAATGACTCCCTCACTCTCTATTTGGTCATTTCTCTGGTTTCAGTGTCTTTTCTATTTCTGGTTTCTATCATTCTGTTTATCACTATAAGACTGTGGAAAAGAAAGACTGATGGAGGGAATGGTCACTTTCCATCAAGCACCCCCTTCCCGAGTCATTTGGTGGATGTCAGTGGCACTGGGACCTTGTCTCAGAGCTACCAATATGAAGTGTGTCTGACCAGTGATTCAGGGATAAGCGAGTTCAAGTTCTTGAAGCCAATAATTCCCAACTTCTCTCTTCAAAAATCTGAGAGTGATGCAGAGGAAAATGCACCATCTTGTAATAACTACAATTAGGAGTACAGTTTTAAGAGCAGACTTTGGGTGTCTTTTTTTCCAGTCAGTTGCACTCATTCCTAATTTCTTCCTTAAGAAATTCAATATATAGCTTGTTTGTATTTAATAATGCATGTTTACCGTTGTATCCTCTCATTTGCATTAGTATTAGAAATTAGTATTACATAATGAACAATTGCTTCCAATCTCACAACAAAATTAAACTATAGTTCCCCAGTTGCTGGGTAAATTTTTCTTTTGAAAATTAAACAATCCACATTTTTAATGTACATCCATTTATTCTTCATAACACTTTTTATTCCTTGATTTTATCCCCAGCTCTTTAGATTTTTACTCAGATAGAACATTGAGCTATCTATTAATACACAATGGTGTAAAGTTGGCTTTGCCATTGCTGTGTGGCACCTGTGCCTCAGTTTCTTTTTTATTTTTAATTAATTTCTCAGTTTCTTTAAATGAAAAAACTCATGTTGGACTAGATCATGTCTAAGATCCCTTCCAGTATCAACAATTTGTTGTCTTACCACTCTTATTAAACATTTATAATGTGAAAACTGTTGCCTTTGTTTTTAAGGAACAGAGAGATGTTTGGGAATGCCTTCCCCCTCCCCCACCCTTGATTCTGTCTTGATAGGCTACCAAAATGGGTAATTATCATTTCATTTTATACTACCTAATTGACCTTTACAACCTGTGATGTGAACATTCAGTCCTATTTCTAATATTTGTGTTGAAAATGAGACAAGCTAATATCACTTAGAACCCTTCTTACCACCAGAAGTCAATCAGGCACCATACCTTGTAGATATCTACTTGTTTAAACTTATTTTTTCAATCAAACATTGCTCATTGTTGTAAACAAAGTGATCAATATGAGTGAGAATATCTTTATATATAGTTTTTATAATATATTAACAATTTAGTATAAAACAGTAAGTCACATCCTCTATGAATTTCAGTTTCCTAACTTATAAAATTAGGATAATAACAATACTTACCTTAAAGGATTATCATGAGAATCAAATAAAATTGGACTTATAAGGCATTTTTCAAATCTTAAAGTTCTATAGAAATAAGAACTATCATTAACATTAAGGGTCAACAAGGCTACTGCCTGCTTTATTATATTTTCCCATTGGTTTATATGAAATACATTAGAGCAATGTACGGTACAGTAATGGAGATAGTCAAAGAAAATAAAGAGTCATCAAGTGACATGTGAAATTTTAAAATAGCAAGTATAGTTGATTTCTCCAAAAAAGAGCCATCGTCATTACACATAACCAAGGGAAATGTGTCTGAAGGCAAGTGGAGTTCACATATGAGCATGTGTGAAGGTCATGAAAAATTTTAGTGCACCTGGGAAAGGGGTGTGTTGAGCCAACTCCAATGGGTTTGCTAGGGCTGCCTGTTAAATTTTCAGTGTGACTATCTATTTATACCTCAGAAGCCAGCAATTGCTACAAATGGGGACTAGGATTATTGGTTTGTTCATTGTCTAGATTTAAGAAAGTGTAAACCAATGGGGCAGCTAGGTGGTGCAGTGGATAGAGCACCAGCCTGAAGTCAGGAGGACCTGAGTTCAATTCCGGCCTTAGACCAAACACTTGACACTTACTAGCTGTGTGACCCTGGGCAAGTCACTTAACCCCAAATTGCCTAAAAGCAAAAAAAAACTGTGTAAACCACTCAGATTAAACTTAAAAGTGTGTGCATGTACTTTCTCCCCCTCAAAGCTTGATTGTTAAGTATATACCAGCACACCTCTTTATTACTCTAGAAGCATCGCTTGAGCTCAGAGGGAGTGCAATAGAAGGCTTAGGGAATGGAGTCACCAAACTGATGACTGTAGGGTAACAATGACGACAACAACAACAACAACTGGTATTTATATAGAACTTGATGGCTTTTTAAAATAAAATTTAAGTTTTCAAAATGCTTTACATCCATTATAGAACAGAGCCTCATAGCACCCCTGATCTGGTTTCCTTAATTTCTATGACATACCTCACAGCCCTGGTAAAGCACTAGGAACAGCATGTCACCTCAAGTTTTTCTGAAACTTTCATGCTTTAATGGAACATGTAAAACAGTGTGTGAGAACCCGTGGCACCACTGCAGGTTAGGTTAATTGTGTGCTAGCCCACAATTGTTGAAGATACAATGGTGCCTGAAGGAGAGGCAATTCTGCAGAAAAAGCAAGTTTTGCTTTTTCTGTTTTTCCTTTTTGTGTTTGAGGAGGGCTCAAGAAGATTTCAATGGAAAAGGAGAATGGTGCCATTGTAAGTAATGTGGGAGAGGTGGGGGAAGATTCTCCTTGAAAATAACAGGCAGTATTTGCAATTCAATCATGAGAATAGATATTTAGTCCTAAAAGAGAAAAAACTGGACCAGGAGGAGCTTGTATGGCCCCACTGAGCCCTTTGTGCTGCCTTTTCAGATCTTACTGGAGAAGCCTTTGCAGTTCTTCCAGGCTAAGCTGTAGGTGCAAGAAATAAATTAACATTCCCCATTGTAAATGGATGCTAAATTACTTCTAAAAATCTCCAGGGATGGTCATTTGGAAAAGGCTGAAGATCTGCATGAAGGAAGTAATCATGTTCAGAATTACACAATCACAACTCACATTTTCACATTCAAACCGCTGCAGCACTTACAGCAGAAGTACCTGGAACTCCTGATGGATAAAGTGTTGGATTGATAGAAAGAATCTGAAGTTAGGGTAATCCTCATGGCTGTGGAATGTGGGTCCCTACCCATACTTAGGACTGCTCAATTGTAGTTTTTGGTTATGGATGTCAACAACAAAGCTCTTGTGTTTGCCCATATGTTAAATAAGGTTAAAATCCCTGAAAATAGTGCAATAGGATCATTGGTTGCCACCACTTCTGATAAAGATTCAGATATAGGAAATTATGGGAAAATATCCTACATATTTTCCATGATTCTGAAGAAATTCAAGAAATGTTTGAACTGAATTCAGAAACAGGAAATTCAATCGATAAAGCAATTAAAATTTGAGACTATTCAATCTTAGGAAAAAGATATTGAAGCCACAGGTGGTGGGTATGTTTCTGAAAAATATATATTCTTATGAATCATTTGATATATTTGAAGACAATGCCCCAGAGTTGATCATTTCATCATATACCAGTCCCATCCTAGAGAATTTGCTTGATATAATTTCTGTGGTTTTTAGGATTTGAGATTAAGACTCAAGAGACAATGGAAGGGTGGTTTGATCTATTTGAGAAGACCTCTGTTTTATGCTAAAACCTGTTGAGAACATTTATTTCTTGGTAACTAGGGGATCAATATATAGGGAGAGCAAGGCTAAGTACTCTTACTGTCCTCAATTTGGGATTTTCAAGGTTCAAAACTGAACTCAGCCTCATAGTGATGATCTCTGATACCAATGACAACTTTGTGGTGTTTACTCAGTCTACACTGTGTATTTCTGGGAGAATAACAGTCTTTTCATGTACATTGTCTACATCAGTGACAGGGACTTGGAAATCAATGCCAAAGTTGTCTACTCCATGCTGCTTCCTGAGACTGGAGAGCTGCCCCTCTTATCTCAGACAATGACTTTCTCTGTCCTCTGGGATCCTTGGATAATGAAGCCATTAAAACTTGCCAGTTCACTATGAGGGCAGCTGATGGTACTTCCTCAGCCCTGGACAGCCCTGGACAGCCAGATTCTAGTTGAGTTTGTACTTTTGGATCATGAACCATAGTTCTCCTTTTGTGCTGTATTCACTGCAGAATGATAAAACTCTCTTTAATGACCTAGTGCTCAGAGGCTGCAGAGCCTGGTTATCTGGTCACCAAGGTAGTCACTTTGGATGGAAACTGGGGCATAAGTGCTCACTTTCCTAATACCTAATGAAGGCCACAGACCCAGGAATCTTCACCATGTGGGCTTGTAATGGGGAAATTGGAAAAGTGAAGCACATTAGTGACAGAGACACCATTAATGAGAGGCTCCTGATGCTGGTGAAGGACAATGGGCAGTTATCTCTGTCCACACCAGCCACATTGAACCTGCTTCTGGTGGATGGCTTCTCTGAGAGCTGCCTACAGCTCCCAGATACACCCAAGGAGTGGGTCCAAACTAATTCCCTTACAGCCTACTTGATAATTTCTTTGGCCTTTGTCTTTTTTTCTCTTCCTGCTTTCTCTCATCCTGTTCATCACTGTACATGGTGAAGGAGAAAAATTGATGTCAACAATATTGGTCTTTATGGGAATGATGAACCATTCTGGGGATACTTTGTGGATGCCAGTAGCAGTAGGAACTTATTCCAAAGTTAACAGTATGAAATGTCTCTTACCAGAAGCTCCAGAACCAGAGTTTAAATTCCATAAACTGATTTTCCCCAGCATCCCTGGATAGGGTAGGGAAAGGCAGTCAGAAGAAAACCTGCTCTTCAAGAACAGCTTCAGTTTCAAGTAGAATTGCATAGAGATGAAAATTTGTATCAGTTTTCCTCTCTTCTTGAAGTAAAGTGTTACATTAAAAAATTTAGGCTTTTAAAGTGGGATCTTTGCAAGTAGATTAGTAGTAAAGATGTATCTATCCTTATTTTTCCTTATTTAGTGTAACCAAATTTATGCTTGTTTAAAAAGAAAAATTATTTTATCACCCTGCCTACAAAGTTGAATGTCACAGTTTAAAATAAATAGGAAACTTTCCCCCTCAGAGAACCTGAGACCAATGGATTCCCATGCCTCATAAACATTATGCTTTATAATATTGCATAGTAAGCTATTCCAAATGTTGTTCCTTGGCTTCATAATTGAGATGAGTTTTGTGTTATTCTAGTTAGTTGGAATACATAATCAATTAGTTTATTTGAGGTCTGTAAATGATTTTTGGCTTGTTGAAGCAGTTAAAGGATTATCAGAGTATACCGATGATCCTATAATTCCTGTGTTGCAATTTCACACAAACTTTTGTTTTTCTCCCTTGAAAGACACTATTACATCAATAATATTGGCTATTTTCCATACTTTTGGAATGATATTATCCAATAAGTTCCTCTATTATCAATCTGAAATATCTTAATTATTAGAACATGAGGGGAAAAAACAAATCTCCTCTAAGGAATCATTACAGAATTAAGGGTATGGAATATTAAAAAGCCTGTATAAAACTATGGAGAAAAGTATTTATGGCCAAAGGTGAGCAACTTTTGACAATACTGGAAAAGGAAAAAGAACAAAAACATTTTCTCTTGTTATTTGGTGTTTTAAAATTTATTTAGTTCAGCTAAAGGCTTGGGGTAAGGTTTTATCCCTTTTGTATGTTTATTTATTTGCTTTTTTTCTTGTGTTGATAATTTTTACCATGTAACAAAAATAATGAAAATAGAAGTATGACATTCTCTGAAGTAGGCTAGTGCTTTTGATCTATTCTCAGTTCTTCTGCAGCAATAGAACACGATCTACCAAGAGCCTTCCATGGTCATATGTGGGGAGCAGCATGACACAGCAGGTAGAGAGAGTGCTGGGCAAGGACTTTGGAAGACCTGGGTTCAAATTTCACCCCTGG